TAGCCATATCTACCTAGTAGATTTTTCATTTTCCGTTGGTCTTAGTACACAATGAAAATGATCCAAACTCTTTCCAGCAGGCACAGGACATCAACATGATATCAGATTGACATTGTACCTCGATGTTGTCAGTGTCTAAGATTGGACAGAGGTAGGATTTTGGTTACTTTCCAACAAAAATCAATGTCTAATGATGTTACAGCTTGACATTTTGTGGATGTTACCTCTATGACATCTATCAAATGTTCACTTTTAGTTGCCTGGTGAATAAATGTTAGTATTTGACATTAATATGACGTTGGATTTTGGTCACTTCCCAACACAACCAAAAATCAACCAAATATCACTGTCATTTGATATCATTATTGGACATCAAAATAATGTTGTTCTTAGATGCTGGCTAGACACAGAATTTTGGTCACCCGACATCACAAGATAAATCTAACCTAACATTGACGTCTTATGATATAAGGAGTGGCTAGGCTGTGAGAGCCACGGTTAAGCCTTTTGAGTGACAAACTAGTGATACCTAATATAGGTAAAAAAGTATTATATTCTTCTCAAAATTGGATGCATTACAGCTGGTGAGACGATCCTATGTAATTGGAAGTGTCCCAGAGTGCCAGAAATAAAAGAGTGAATTAATAAGATTGAAATTGCATCGTACGAGTGTATGCTGGGGGAGAAGTACATAGAAAATGGGATAATCTCTGATGACATTTAAAATTACGATAAATAAGTATGTATTACAAAGGTACCACAACCGTAATTTTCATATAAGTTTACTATATGTTGTTTTTCTTAGTTGAATTTTCTAATATGTAACATGTATCATATGTGTAGTGTGAAGTGTGTTCTTTGTTCCTGGCTGTTGAATTATAATAATAACCTCTTATAGCGTTTTGTGCCTACTGGGTTTTTTACATTTATTAAGTGAGATGTTAAAAGTCTAATCCAGGGGTCTAGCCCAAACTCGGTCCTGGAGGGCCGGTGTTCTGCATAGTTTAGCTCCAACTTTCTTCAATACACCTGCTAAAAGTTACTAGTATACGTAGAAAGAGCTTGATTAGCTGGTTCAGGTGTGTCTAATTGGGGTTGGAACTAAACTTTGCAGGACACGGGCCCTCCAGGACCGAGTTTGGGCACCTCTGGTCTAATCCAATTCAATGATTTATGCTAAGCTGAAAGCTAAAAGTTCTTCCATCAGATCAGCTGATTAAAAAAAAAAGGTAAATGTGTGTATTTCCATAAAGGTGGAGGGTTCTTTTAAGATTCACTAAAGTGCCAGCTTATAAATAAACATCTAACCTGAAAGACGATTCTCGATTTTTCAAGAAGATATTTCGACAACGACGTCCCGACAACAACGCCCCTGAAAAAAAAAATCAACAGAAGATCATTTCTTGATCACACCACAGCTGAAATCAAATTAACAACATGCAATGGTACTTACTGGAGTATGTGGATGTGTAGGTACTTTCCAAATCGGCTGGAGTTATTGTTCAGTATTGTTTTGGCATTACCAAAGCTCTCAAGAATAGGCAAAACCTCCATTGGCTGATGAGGGGCAGATTATCCATTTGAGTTATGAGATTCTGTCTTCATATTTCAAACCTAATCTTCCATATGGCTTGACAAATTGATTTACCTGTCGCAATTTATCATTTCTACCCTGATACATGGAACTCAGGTAGTGGACAATAAGCTTGGTGGCCTCTGTCTTGCCTGATCCACTTTGTCCACTGTTGAGAGAATCTACATTTATTCAAATGTATAATATAGGAATACTTTACCTTAATGTCATAGACAATGGTTATTATATATGCATTGCAAATGCATATGTAACATACTTCTAACCTTATGATAATGCAGTGCTCCTGCGTGGTAGTTTGAGACTGGCAAAAGGCAGCATCTGCTATGGCATATATATGACTGCCAAAAACATATGTCTTTTAACGACACTGCTAATATTTTTTAAATAACAATACAAAAATATAATCTGTAGTCACTCACGGGGGATTATTGTGCTTCTCTTTACCCTGGTATTGCTGCCTCAGTTCTTCAGTGTAGATGTTGATAGGCTTGAAGGGGTTGATGGACAGGAGCATATTGCCAATATATGTCTGTTGGATTTACTAAAGGATTAGTTCACCCAAAAATCTAAATTATGATATTAATTAATCACCCTCATGCTGTTCTAATGCCACAACACCTTTGTTCATATTCTGAAGCTTTTTAACAGTTGTTATATGTTTAAAGTCCAGAAAAGGAACCAAGAACTTTGCCAAAACATTCACTGTGACTCAATGGTTCAACTGGAATCATACGAAGCACCAAGTACATTTTTGTGCACCAAAAAATTGCAAAAATTACATTTGCTTGTTCTATTTCTGGACATCCTCATCTTAGAACCATTGCACCCTTTGGAAAACAAGAGAGGTCTTGGGTTTTAATAATTTGTGTTCCAATGATGAACAAAGTTCTAAGGGGGGTAATGATTGGAATGACATGAGAGTAAGTAATTATTAACAGAATTATTTTTTTTTAGTTGAACTAACCCTTTAAAATGTTTTAACAACAGTTAGAAAAAACAAAACAGCTGAGTGAGGTAAAGAAATATCTGATAATTTGGAAAAGGTCATGCATACATAAATAGAATCCCGATGAAATCGCTTCTTCAGATTTAGCAGAACAGAACTCTCACACACCTCTCTGGGGAAAAATAGACATTTGGTTAATGTAATGTTAAAAGCAATTAAACAACGCTCAAAATCGAATAGCTTTGTTCATATAATCAGCATTTAACTGTGGCTTTTGTTGTAATGTCTACATGAGGACGTTTACATCAGGTGATTGCTGTGATGACTCACTCCAGCTGTGCCAAATCTTCCACCTCATCCACCTCCACAGCCTGGCTGCTTCCTGGCATCATTACCTGGGGCAGAAAGTAAAGTAAAGTAAGCAGAGCTGAGCTGTCACTGACAGCCCCCGAAGGGCAGACGTGGATAACACCCACACTCTTTCCCAGCTAGGACTTTCTCCTCGGATTCAAACTAACATTGCAGATGACTTTTTTGCTGAATCAAAAATCAAAGTTTGCTAAATCAAACTTCACAAGAATTATGTTAAAGTGTACCTATTTTACCCCCTTTTCAACATGTAAGATAAGCCTTTGTATCTCCAGAATGTGTCTGTAAAGTTTCAACTCCAAACACCAATCTATTTTTAATATACCTTATAATGTACATATTTTTTTTGAACACACCGTAGCTGTTTTTGTGGTCAGTGCTTTTAATGCTAGTTTTCCCCACCCATCGTTCCCAAGTGCCTGTCAGAGTGTGCCTCAGTCTCCACCTCGGTTGGTTCAGATAAACAGCACAGTGACAGACATGAAGGGAGCAGATCTCTCGTAACGTTTGTTTGAAATACTATATTGTCTCAATGATTATCTGATGAATTTGTTGTGGAGTTAATTCAAACCTTTCTGCAATTATGAGTCACACAAAATGTTGTTACAAAGTTCACGCACACACACGTTACGCAGGTTTAACTTTGCACTGTTATTGCACGGCAAATGTGACAGGATACACGTTAATATCCACTGCTGTATGGATATCCGTTATGTTAATGTACAAAATATACCGGATTTAACATCTAGAAAAAGGGATTGAAGCATCTTCTTTTATAATTGTACTGACATGCAGCTGTGTCAATAAAATAAAAATAATAAATACATTTTTAAAACATGCACTGTTTAAAGCGTTTTAAACTTGTAAAACTGATTCTTGATTACATTTGATGATGATTGATGATCACAGCGAGCTAAACAGATCTTTTAATCCTGGTAGCTTTGAGCACATCTTGGTTGATATCAATGTTACACATTGATTATATGCGTTACTACGAAGACATGTTATTAAACCACACTCCTGTCACATTGCGGTTGGTCTCAAAATGGATGGATTTTGATCCTATTTTAACGTCATGTCATTTTAAAAAAGACACTTATTGTCTTTTTATCACCCCAATATGACTGTGGTAACACTATACATACACACAGTTCTGTCCAAACAGCTTACAAAAGTTGATTTTCATCATAGGTGCCCTTTAAAGGTGGGAAAAAAAATACTGAAAAACGTTTTTGACCATTATGAGTGCCACAACACATTTGCAGCCAATCAGCAGTAAGGGGTGTGTCTAGTAAGTCAATGGTTGAGTTCCTGTTAAAGTCCACATGAACCGGAAGTTGCTGAGAATTTTATGTCATTATGTTGATGTAATTCTAACTGTAACATAACATTGAGTAGGGGGTGGAACTTTCTATTTGCACATCATTCCCTTGTAGCAAACTAAAAGTAAAAGAGGCATGGTCAAGAATATTGTTGGCTGAAGCCGTAAAACGTCAAAGTTATGAGTGTGTATGTTTTGTTGCTGTCAAACATCAACATCAGGTGCATCCCAAATCACATACTTATGCACTAATCTACGTCATTTTCATAGTGTAAGTAGTGCATTCACACTGAAAACTCTAAAAATAATAAGTGCACTTTAATTACCTGCATGATGCACTCATTCAACCGTTAAAAGGAAGTGTGGAATGTTGGAGACTTCATGCACTCAATAGCTGCTGCTTCGATCACGTAATGGAAGGGGCGGAGCTTTTGGGCACTGATTTTGGATTACATTATTTATTTTGGAATGTGACGACAAAATTCTCCTACGAGAGTGATTATAGCGCCTCCCGATGGTGAATGAAGTTACACTCATGGAAGGTATTATTTGATAGTTTGGTCACTTATTTCAGTAATTTGGCAAATGTCAAACATCATCAGGGAAACAATTTGAATTTCCGCTAAGTAAAAGAAATGTTAGCATTCCATTTCAGATAACTCTACATTCATATATTATGCTGTTGAGTGTTTAAGTGCATAAGAACATAGCGCTTAAGTGCATTGTGTATAGTGTGCCATTTGGGACGCAGCTATCATTTGGTAAAAATAATTTGTTGCACCCTTAGTTACTGCATATTTCATACCTGTGTGCTGTTAAGTCTCTCCTCTAGCATGTTTTGCGTCGGATCTTCAGACTCCCATGGCCCTCTGCCATTATGGGTTGGAATAATGTGAGCATGTTCATCATCTTGATACACTGTCCATTTAGTGAGTTTCTCCACTGTTTGGTGGGGCAGGAGGTTCTCAGAGCGTAGCCAGTCTTGAGGATCCCCACACATCTGCTGAGTCTGCGCCCAGTGCATCTCCATCGGGGAGGGCAAAAGACCCTCACCCATCAGCTCTGCCACCTCTCGGTCCACATCCTCCTCATAGGCAGGTTTGATTCCTGCATCCCTCCATATCTCTGGTTCTACTGGTACCGTTGCTTTCCTTAGATTCCTGTCCACTTCTTTGTTCTGTCCTGCACTTACACCATTAAGTAAAGGTTTAGACATGGGCAGCTTGGTGAGGTTTACTTGCGATCCCCCAAGTTTTCCCTTTGCGGCTTGTAGTATGCTTGTACCCTCTTTGATGCCTGATGTTGGCTCTTTAGTGTCTGCTGTCACCTCTGTTTGGCTCTCAATCCCTTGAGATTTGGGGCTGTCAGTTTGACCACTGCCCCTCAGTTGAGCGCTTTTCTTTACAGATTTTAGCAAGCTAAGGTCTGGCTTTACTGGAAGAACCAGACGAGCACCTGGCTTTGGTGGTTTACGCTCTGTGGTGCCTTCATTGCCTGTGCTGGTGCCAGTCAACAGAACAGTGGCTTCCTTTGCCTTGCCAATTTTGTTCATCCTTGGTAACACAATTGCATATTTGGCATCTCCTGGGTTGGCCTTTTCCTCAGCATCTTGTGGAGATGAACAAGGGTCCTTAGAGGAATCTCCCTGGGGATGAGCTGTAGTATCCTCTTCATTCTTGGAATCCTTTGAGGTTGATTCTTCCTTCTTTGATTTTCCATTACTTGACATTTTCATAAGCATCTTATGTCGGATGAGATTCTTCTTTTTCTTGTCTCTACTACCCTTCTTCTTCAATGCCAAAGCAGGAAGCCATTTTGAGACCCCGATTGCTTGGGTGACAGCTGATAGCTTTCTTCGAACATGTATGCTCTTTGGTATCTTCTTCTGAATCCATCCTGAAACACGGCGCAATGTTGTCATGCCTCTTTTCCGGGCAACTAAACGCTCGGTTGACTTTGAGGGCATCTCTTCTTCGGGCTCAGCTTCGTCTTCCACTATATTCTCAGATAAATCTTGATTTAGTTCTTCAACAGCATCTTCAGTGTCTTTTGGAAGTTTCTCTTTCACACTCTTGCTTTTATCAGCTTTTTCTTTGCCTTTCATTGAAAACAGCATACGAGATTGCTTGTTCAACAACCCTTTAGGGCCTTTTGTTGGGTTTGCTTCTTTATCTTCCTGTTGATCTGCCTCCTCTGTCTTGACCATAGCCTTCGTTTTACTTGCCAACTGTAGAATTTGAGACTTACCTTTGGTGGCGCCACCTTTGGAGAGAGCCATTGCTTTCATTTGAACTGCTTTTGGAGAAACAGTGGGTTCTTTAGGGTCCTCTCCTTTCGAAGGCCCCTTCTTTTGTAATATCTTGGATTTTAACATCTTTTTTTGTCCCTGGAGATGGACTGACAGATTTAGCGGTGCTGTTTTCGCTGTTGAACGTGTCGTCTCTCCCGGAGTGCTTACCTCCCCTTTATCACTCAATGCCTCCGGTGAATCTACTTCTTCTGCACTGCTAACAGGTTCTTCTATGCTCTTACTTTCAGTAGGCACATCCGAATTGCCCTCTCCTTCACTTGTCTTCTGTTCTTCTTCCTCCACTTCAGATTTTTTGTCTACATCTGACTGCTCTTCTTGAGCACTTAATGCACTTGCGTCAGTCTCAGCAGTGTCCTCAACACCATCTGACCCCTCCTTCTTCTCATCCTTGCATTCTTCATCACTTTCCTTCTCCGAGCTCTCTGCTTTCTCGCTCTCAGATTCGTCCTCTTCTGTATCAACCACTTTAGCACCCCTCCTTCTCCCGCCTTTTGCTGGAGTTTTGGTTTGTTTTTCTTTCTGGTCGTGTTTAGATTTGACAACTTTCCCAGCTCTCCCTTTACCCAAATTGCCATTATTTACCTTGATAGGTAAGTTTTTACCATTTTGCTTTCTCGCTTTCTGTCTAGAAGTCTCCATCTCAGTCTCTTCCTCCTCTGGTTCCTCGGTTTGTTCACCTTTCACAGTTTTCTTCCCATCCTTTTTGTTCTTCCCTTTCCCTGCTATCTCTTCCTTCTTTGAAGATTTATCCCCTTTGCCACTTTCATTATTATTTTGAGATTCCTTCTTTCCTCGTTTTTGAGCTGGTAGTTGTTCTTTTTTGTCAGTCTTTTCTGTCACTGCTTTCTGTTTCCCTCCCCTGCCCCTGTTGGGTGATTTCGCTGGAGGCATGTTTCTAGATCAAAGATGTCTCAATTTGACTCAATGTCAGGACATTTCTTTAAAGATCTAAAAGTATTAACACATTTGTACAGATTAAAAGATTTCAAAAACATGCATTAAGAAGGTATTCACATCTTAATATCGTTACAAATGCTATTTATTCTTTCAGCAAAACTTTTACTAATTTTGAACCTTTGTACAGGACAGGTGAAACTGATTCTTATCAGCAACCTAAACTGCCATGGGTAGAGATCCTATGTCATGTCTTTCAACTACAGTGCAAGGTGAACTTGACCTAATAGTCACCATTAGGGCTAGGTTTCAGGCTTTTCACTCTCAATAATGCCATTAGAGATGTGACTTTAGATACCGACAGATCAAGTATACTTGATTTAAGGTATTAAACATGACACTTCCAAGTATTCAATATGCATTTCTGTTTCAAAATGTTCAAAAACTAAATTAAAATGTGAGTTGACTCAAAAATCACATGAAAATGTACAACCAGCATAAACAACTTACAAACTAGGCTTATTTCCATTTAATACCAAATGGCCTACCTGTCTTCTCAGGAGCATACGAGGCATTGAGGGAGTTTTGAGAGGATTTCTGCTAGTCCTAAACACTCCATGGATTCCTCCCCTGACTGGACGCAAACACCTACTCTGTCTCTCTTGCACGAACACACACCCACACAATCATCCATAGACATTCAAAGGCTTTAGTGAATAATTTATATTTGACGGGACACCATATATTTATGCAGCCATTCATATCGTCAGCTGCCGAACAGACGGTGGAAAGGTGAGAGGCTTCACTGCAGGGGTGACAAAAGGTGTTGATACATGAGAGAGCTGGAGAAACACTCTGACAGATGCTTACAAGGAAATTCCAGAAGATATTTCTTTCATAAACTTTCAAAAAAGTCTGTCTCTTTGCTCTCATAAAGATGTTTATTTTAGTATGTAGGATACTATAGTGAGTGAGAAAAATTTTAAAACATCTAGAATAACTTTTTTTTTTTTTGTCAGTTCTTAAATGAATTGATCTGTTCAACTAATATAAGAAATTAAATTAGTAAATTCTCTGGGTGTTTGGAAATTCTCTTTTGCTGTTTGGCCAATGGCGTAAACAGCTATTCTCTGGGATTTTCTAAGGGATGGTGTCAAATATCAGGAAAACATCTGAGCTACTGCGATTAGGGAACAAAGCAACTCTCAATAATAGATGATCAAAACTCTTGGCTATGTGTATGACAAGCTATCCAAGCAAAGGGCATTTATTTTTTTTTAAATTAAATTTAAAAAGCTACAACTGCCATCATAAGCAGCAATGGAAATCCTAAACAGGTTTAAATTTTGGGTTAACTTAAAAAAATAAAGGTGTATAATTAAACAAATAATTAATAAATATACTGGAATAAATAAATAAATAAATATACTGGAAAGTTAGAACTTTCTATTTTAAATAAAAATGTCCCTTTAATGGCTTGATTTGGCCTATAAAAACTCAATATTCACTATGAACTGGCAACTAGGACAGCAAGAAAACATCCTTTTTGGAAGTTTTTGGACTGTAACACTTAGGACACTTCAGAATGATGTTTTGACTTTATTTTCAGTAGCTTGTGTAATACATATGCATGCCACATTGAGCCACACTTACATATTTAATAAAACGATCTAATTGTTTTTTACTTATTTTAGTTTTCAGAGTTTTATGGATAATCGTTGGATTCTGTCATATACAGTAACTGTGATGGACCATGTCAACAGACATGATTCTCAAATACAAACTTATTTTGACTTAAAACGGAAGAGTTTTAAGAACTGTGACAAGTTTGCATCCATACACCAATGAATGGAGGATCTTAAAAGATGGCGATCACTGTTAAACTTGTGCAAGTATACAGATCTATTTAAATACACTAGTCTAACGAGTCTAATTTTATTTTACTATTAGACTGTGTGCAAATACCCATTTTATAAGAAAATATGTCCTTTGTTTTGAACATTTACTATATAGTGTCTGTCATTTGGAAGAGCTGCCAGTTTCAGACCCCTGTATGGGTGCGATCATGACTTGACAGTGATTTTAACCATCTGGGGCTTGGGGTCAAATTTAAATCTAAATTGACTTCTAATTGGTATTATAAATATTATTTTATTAGATTAGAGCTAACCCATCCCTCACATAAAACCTTGCCTGTGATTCATATCACTTGTTTGCAAGTTGGCAGAATGCAAAATTCAGGAAAGACAGGTTATAAATTCCTTTTTAATTAATTCCTTGTATTTATTTCAGATACATTAATCCACAAAATACAACTGTAAATATATCTTTGTCTGTAGAGTATAATTTTCATTTAGTCTATATTTTATTTATAACGCATAATTAAGGAGAAGTTATGGACAGATAGCCAACAAGAACCTTTATTTTAATTCTTTTGAAATTATTGTAATTTGTCAAGGCATCTACTCGATTTATCCAAATGTTTTTGATAACTGAAACTTGACTATTTTCTTCATTTGTATTTCAGAGTACATCACACTGCGAGTATTAGAGACATGAGCCATATTGACCTTATCTTCACATGAGCATACGGCAGCCATTGGAATGTTTTTGCCCCGAGACTTTCGCTCATTCACTTCCAAAGATTTTTAAAACAGCTTGTTATGCTGCTTGATGTTGCAAACTGATATTTTCTTATTATAATATAATTTTTTTATGTATTTACATGAACATGTTTAATTGTAGAGGAAGCAGTTTTACTGTTTTCCTTTATTTATTATTAGTCATTTCTCCCATAGGCGACTGAATCGAAAGTTCTAATACAATTGCAAAAACGAGCGAACTTCCGCATTGTAAAACAAAGTCAATATGGTTTGTTTACACCTGGTTAATTAGTTTTTTTGTTTTTTTTCCCCAGATTGGATAGCTATCTGGTTTCTGATTTTAATTGAACTATTTCATTTCGTCATTCACTGTCAAAAACGAAATGAAACTAAATAATTAAAACAAAAACATCTCAATCTGTCATCTGTGGCCTTTTGTAGCTTATGCATTTGCGCTTGTTTATCTGATGATCATATAGCCTATATCACACGTGCGCTCTCATGTTTATTTTTTCCATTTTGGTTGGAGTAAAATTGGCATTTGTGGTTTCAACAAGCAGATGCATGTAGATCGGTCCAGTGATTTATATCAGTCTCGAATGCGTTGCAGAGAGCATTTACTTACACCTGTCTTTTCACATACGGATAGCGATCCAATCAGAACTATACATCAAGGGCCTAGGTGTAAAGAGCCCCAAAGAGAGCTCATTAATATTCATGACCCTTCCAAATAAGGTGAAATCAGACCTTTCTGTTCTAGGCCCAATTCCTTGGCTTCAAAATGTTTCTGTAGAATTTTTGCAGATATCAGAGAAAAGTTTAAACAATGTATCAATGCATTCTATGGCACTTTTGTAGTATGAACCAACTCTATGAAATACAAATGCCCTCAAAAGTCACACATTTGCACTCATATTTACAGTGCTCAGCATAATTGAGTACACCCCATTTGAAAATGAATATTTTTTTCCATTTCTCAGTGAATATAGGCAATGTATTTTGGTGCATTTGAACAAAACAGATTTTTTTTAAACAGAATTTTATTATAATAATATTTGTCACCAAACATTTTAAGAAATTGAAAGATAATACAATTAAAATCTAGCAAAATATTGCAAAAACTATTGTATAAGCACACATGCAAAAATGTCTAACTTCCTATTCAAAGTATAAATTTAAAAGATCTGATTTGTGAGGGGTGTAATTATATATATGCTGAGCACTGTATATATATATATATATATATATATATATATATATATATATATATATATATATATTTATACACACACACTAGGGCTGCATATATATTGTTTCAGCTTTGATATCGCATTGTGATCATTTGCAGTAGTCACACCGTACCATTTGTAACTTTACCAATGATTATTTTTATCTTTTTATGATTCAGTTACTGTACTTGAATACTGTTAGACTCAAAAAACCATTAAACACTTTTTAAATTGCATCTTTTTTCTTGATTGTATTTATAGATTGTTATTCATGAAAATACTCTCGACACATGCAAATACAAAAATCCACTGCAAATAGCACAGACCACAATGAAAACGTGTCGAGGGACCCTAAAAAATAGCGGTGTAACGCATCCCAAATCTCACAATTTGGATCACATTATGGCTTTTCAGTCACGGATTGGACCATTTTTCGGATCAGCCAAAGAGACAAATTTATTTTGCTTTCCATATATTACAAAAACAGCACTGCAAGAAACCTTTGGTTTTTTTAAAAAACAGAACTTAGAAGCTGTAATTTTATTCAAACTAAAATGAAGAAATAATCAGCTGAAAGAAATTAAATTGTAATTTTTCAGTGAAAATGTCACTGTTACTACTACTGTTGCTGATGACGCTAAATCTAAGATTATAATTCGTATACTCCATATTTATTTTGTAGTTTCATTTTCAATAAAGGATTCAGTTATTCACTCATAAAACTTCATGTTTCATTGCTAGATGGATCATTTCGATACAATTATTCAATGGCATATTCTTAATGGCTGGTTGTAGCCACCTATTGATGAAATAATGTAATTGCTGCCTACAACTTCCATTTTTGAGCATCGTCAACTGCATATGACTGATTGTAATCTTTACCATGAACGTGGTTTTATCTAAACTATAAACTGTTCTCCCAGTACTTCTGTGTTATTTGACTGTTTGTAACTTCATAATTAACTCAAAAGACTAAAAACTGAATCTCTTTCTTGACTTTTGCATTTTTCAAACACAAATTTGAATGCAGCGACTAAGGATTAATAATCATATGCAAATCACCATCATTTATAATTTATGTTGCGTGGGTGTTGAGATCCTGATCTTTTAATGATTAATTGTGCAGTACACTGAATGCATTAATGCAGGCTCAACAAGTAGTGACAGAAAACACCTAAGAAACCCACCACATACTGAATAACTCACCATAACTTCCTCTGTCATCATTATTATTTTTCATACATGTGATTTGAATGACAAAAGAGGCGATCTCTCTGTGATCGTTACAAATTTAGGATTAGTTTACAAGTAAAATAAAATCAGCAGGTCGTTTGTGTTCCGAACCGTGGGTTGTGATCCGTACGAATCACGGTTCAACCATAATCCAATACACCCCTACTAACAAGTGAGAAGACGGTTTATTAGATTTTATGAAGATGCACGCCCACTCCCAATCTATCTAACATTAAAAATTCCTTCCAAATATAAATATATAGAGATATTCAAGTTATCTGGTGAAATTGTATTCATATCACAATATATATTGCAAAATACAAAGCACATCGCAATGCTAGGTTTTTACAATATCGTGCAGCCCTAGTATACACCATCAAAACTACATAACAAGGTGCTTAGAAACTCAGATTTAATGCAAGAATGATTTTGATTGAGCTTTCTGACAGCAAACCAAACTTGAATAGTGGATACTGCATATTCTTCATATGTTAAATAGACTTCTACTGCATTCATCTACTCACCGTGATGCAGAATGGTTTAGGATTTTCCTCAATGAATCAATGAAAGAAGACAGATTGTGTGAAAAATCGTTTTACTGAGAAGACTGTAGTGTGAAATTAGAAAGAATAATAATTAGTGTTCTCATACATAATCATCATGTTTCTACAAAAATATATTCTAGAGCTCCCCCCCAAAGAAAACGCTATAAAAGCATTTCAGGAGACAGTACCAAAATATTTCCTCAGATCAGAAAATACGGCCCTCCGCAGAAGTAACCCACCGTCCAAAAAAACAGGTACGGATTTTTTGTCATATACACATATATTAAAAACATTTGACTACAATATTTTTAAAATTACATTCCTAGATTACATCGTTCATTCGTGGCATAACAAAAACAGAATTACGTTAAAAAATAAAAATAAAACCAGAAAATAAAACCGAAAATCAAAACCTAGCCCCTCAGAAAGCTGTACACCCTAGAAACTACAGCATATGTACTACACAGTAGTGTACAAGTACCTATAAGAACTTGAATCTTGGACGGGGAAAAGGCAACACTACTTTTTGTGGAATACTTAATGTGTATGCGGATTAATGTTAGCATCTAGTGCTAATGCTGCCTTAGTCATCCAACCCTTGTCAGCAACCGCTCATGGCATCCAAACGAAAGTATTTTACACCATCTACTTAAAACTCTGAGGTCATTGATCTGGTACAAAAGGGAAGTCATGCATTAAAAAAATAAGTTAAAAAAGAAACTGCGAGTCTTTGAAATGCCGCTGTGTTTGCTGAGGTGTTGTGAGCGGCTAGCGTGTGATGGAGTGAGTGGAAATACAGTGTTTGGTCTTGGCAGGCACTGGTGGTGGTCCCTCGCTCTCTCCTGTCCTGTCTGGGTGTAGGAGGTTTCGCTCTCTATGTCATGGTTCAGTAGTGGTAACTAGCAGTAGTGTTCAGATCGGAAGCAAGTCTAGAATGAAGAGCGCATCCACATTCATTCAGGCACTGGGAATTAAAAAAGGCTCAATCTGTGGACAGAAGACATAAAAAACACACACAATATATTATTAGTGCTGTCAAATGATTAATCGTGATTAATTACATCCAAAATAAAAGTTTGTATTTAGGTAATGTGTGTGTGCTCACTGTGCAGGGTTCCCACACTTTCATAAACAGCTGATTCAAGAACTTTTTAAAGCACAATTCATTTTTAATCAGGCACTTTTATAATTCAAAGCCCAGGATATGTAGCACAATGAAAGGCTTTACTGTACTTAACATTGCACTTAATATTAGTTAAAAATGTAGTTTTCAAAAACAGTCCTGTTCACAGAACTTCTAAAATTTGATGAATTCAATACTTGTAATATTCAAATGTGGTTTCTGAAATAATGATAAATGTGCATTCTTTGTCAGTGTTATTGCACAAGATTTAAACACATGATTTTTTTATGGTTCTGACATTTGATAACAAATGTTAAAATAAAGCCGTAAACAAATTGTCTAAAATTTAATTCAAGCATCTTCAACAGCCTAAGTTTGTTTTTAAGTACTTTCCAGGCCTGAAATCCGTATTTCTGAAATTCAAGTACTTTCAAGAAGCGTGGGAACCCTGACTGTGTACATAGTGTTTATATACAGTTGTAGTCAGAATTATTAGCCCCTCTTTTGAATTTATTTTCTTTTTTAATATTTCCCAAATGACGTTTAACAGGATCAAGGACATTTTCACAGTATGTCTAATACTATTATTTTCTTCTGGAGAAAGTCTTATTTGTTTTATTTCGGCTAGAATAAAATCAGCTTATAATAATTCTGACACACACACACACACACACACACACACACACACACACACACACACACACACACACACACACACACACACACACACATATATAGACCTTAAAAGCATTTAGGCATTATAAATTGTACCATTTGTAATCTTAACAATGATTAACTTTATTGAACTATTTTGATTTTGATCATTCAGTTACTGTACTTAAATACTGTTAGACTCAGAAAATGATAAAACACTTCTTTCAATCGTATCAAAATAATAATATAATAACACTTTATTTACAATTAAATTAAAGATTAAAACATTAATGTTTTTATCAGACCATTATGCGCTATATATGTTCCTTATTTCTGATTACGTTATTTTTCTTAATTTCTATTTTGTAACAGCCTTCAGAGTTGAAAGTAAGGATTTCATTGTAGAGGGAAATGCGCCTGACAGTAAAGCCTTTAAACTTTACATTTACACTGTAGTTTATGAGAAACAGCCCTTAATGGATATTTAATAAACATTTAATGAAGTGGCTTGAGACCAAAATAAAATGTTTTCAAGGAGAACTTTGTTTTAAAACAATAACAATAGGGGAAAATATACCAAAAGCATACAAAACAATCATTTATTACATATTAATTTTGATACGGTTGTGTTTTTATTTCATTTAATATTTATGTTTTACTTTTAATAGTGATTTAAGAACTTGTCAACAAGAAATGTAAATTAAAAAAGAAAAAATATTTTAATTTATAATTTTACACAATCATTTTATTATTATGAATAATAATAGTAAAAATATAAATAATAAAATTATTAATAATACTAGTATATCGTTATCATTATTTGTTCGTTTTTAACTTTTCTAATAAAAAAAAACCTCCAAGGTCTCAGACCATTTTACATTCACTAATACACATACATTTGCATTTAGCTTTGCATTAAACAGAAAACATTCATATTAGTCAGCAAAATTAATAATAATAATCTAACACTTTTTACATTTTCCATCTTTGCATTTCATGAAGTGACTCAAATATAAAACAGGTCAGGCTTATGCACAATAAATAAATCAGAAGCACTCGTGCAGAGGACCTCCAAACATTTGTAAAGCCTGTATAACAACACGCAACACACTACTGCACCCGAAGACAAAGATCTGCATTACTGGAAGACACTGATCACTATTCTTTCCAAATCTTTTCACAGGGGGAATAATTACAATATAACAATTATAATGCAGAATAACAATTGATGCTAATTAGCAACAGAAAAGTCATTACCTCCATTGCTCAGCACATTGCCTGCTTTAGGCTTAGTCTTCAGATTGTTCTCTAGGAACGTCCTTTGAATAAACGATTGGCAGAATATTATTCAGACCACACAAGCATTAATGAATATTAATAAAAAGAAATTAATATGTGAAAATGAAAAATCCTTACGTTTGATCTCCTTCTAGAGACTTCTGGATCTCCTGCAGAACACCTGAATTAAAGCAAGATGTGATTTAAACAGTTTTACCCACAATTGACTAATGTGAAGTACTCAAAAATGCGTTCATCCTTTCAAAAACTTGCACAGATATTAATGAGACAATATTATGGTGCAGGCAGATGGCAGCCTTACAAATCATGCGCACACATGACTGCACAGACCAGAACATGATCACTAGAACACGTTCAGCATGTTTAGATTGTAGTTTTTGTGTCATGGAACAAAAAGAGCAAGCAAGAAACAATCAACAAACTGACAATCATCTGATATGCTATCTAATGATTTGTCTAAACTGGAGAATATGCTGTCTAACTGCTGATTCCTGGTGTACTCACTCTCATCGTTGAGCAAAGCATGCTCCATTACTTGTCTAGCAGAATTCTCTGGAACACACAAGCACACGGATCAGTCCAGCGCAAACGTGCAAACACTTTTAAGAGGAGTTATTCACACAATCTGCAATTGTGGGTACTGGCAGGCCACAGCAATGTTTTACCTTTATTAAAATACTGCTTTTTAAAATATTTTATTAATTATGATCTACTAATAAAATACAATAATAATAATAATAATAATAATAATAATAATAATCATTCGTTCATTTTCTTTTCGGCTTAGTCCTTTTATTAATCTGGGGTCGCCACAGTGGAATGCAACTTATCAAGCGTATGTTTTACATAGCTGATGCTCCTCCAGCTGCAATCTATCACTGGAAAACCCCCATACACTCTCATTCAAACACATACACTATGGACAATGTAGCTTACCCGATTCACCTATAGTGCATTTTAAACACATGGAGAACATACAAACTTCACACAGAAATGCCAACAGACCCAGCCGAGGCCTGGAACCAGCGACCTTGTAATAATAATAATAATAATAATAATAATAATAATAATAATAATAGTACAATTTTATTTACATTTTATAATTTATATAATCTAAAAATAATATAATAATAAATTATATAATTCAGCTAATTTAATATTTTTATTTTATTGCTTTATTGTATTTATTAAGTATAGGTTTGAGTAAAATGTTTTACATGATAAAGGCTTGATATTTCTTCCATATTAAAAAAAATAATAGTATATAATAAAATATTTTCATTCACAGCACTTGGTTTTTGAAAATATTTTCATTAGTTGACTGAAATGAGGGTTATTTTACCAAATAGAGATCTGAACTCTAAGTTTTGCATATACGCTTCTGAAATATTATTATTATTAATATTATTAATATTCATTCATTGTTATTATTATTTATTTTTTAAATGTTTTACCTTCTCTAAAATAGAAAAATATTTTGCTTCTTTTTTCAGCTTCTACGTTGACTAATACACATCTAAATTTGCATTGAATTTGGCATTCAATAAAAAACATTTTAATAACATTAATAAAAATAAAATATTAACATTCTCTGTCAAAATAATGTATAGACATTTGTCTGAAAACAATTTTTATTTTCTGACAAATGCTATTTTTATTTTGTTTTTAGACTTTATTGCATTATTTTCAACATTTACTTACAAATGTATGGCAAACAGAGCTTGTTACACTGGACATGGGAAAAAAAAGAGTCAAATCAAAACGTAATAAAAAGTAAATAAAATTAAGGTCTTTTATATTCGGATAATGTGGCAATAAACTCAATTAGATTAGCAATTGAAAGCAACATGTGGATTATTTGATTAAATTCAGAAGTTAATTTTAGATAATTTCTGAATATAATCAAATATTGCACGTGTTGCTTTCAATTGCTAATCTAATAGAGTGCTTATTTCTTAGGCCATACTATTGTATCTGCGCATGTATTTTTCTTATATGATTATAAATTGCATATCCAAAGAAACTGATCATTTAGGTGGTCTTTTAATAGCTGTACATAAATACAGTAAATTATATGATTATTTAAATGAGTGGACATGAAGGCTGTTTAAATACAATAGTATGATGCTTTGCCGTTCATACCACCTCAAATAAATAACAAGTACTTATAACATTGAAATTTTCAACATGGCCCAGTTTCATCAATTACAGATTGTGTTTGTAAGTCATCTGCATGAGACTTGTGGGAATAATGTGGGAAAGCATTCAACAAAGCACTAACAACATGCGTTTTAGTATTAGATGTTTAGTTCTCACACACAACTAGAAAAAAAAAAAGAGAAGAAAACTCTGAATCTCACCATATCCTTCACTGTCCCCTTTGAAATTTCTGGAAAGACAAAACAAACAAACATCAATATATTAACACTTTGGTACATTTTTTACAACCAGAAACTAAATCTGAAATGGTGTCGCTTATTAAAACAGCAGTCTAAAACAACTAATCTAATCACCAAAAATACAAAATGGCACTTACAGGTTTCAAAATTCTTTATTGTCACTGTACTGAGTATTTAGTACAGCAAAATTAGAGCTTACAGTGCAAAAAAACAAACAAACAAAAAAAGAGTAAACATATTGCACAGTAACTGAGTAGTGAGATTCTATATACACAAGAATAATGTAACAGAATCTTAAATACGAATGGAGTATTGATACAATACAACACAGTGATTGACTGTGAAATAAAAGTGTTAAAGACAACATTGCACAAAAGATGCAATATTTAACATACAGTATTGCACTTCAAGAATGAACAAAGTAAGAGAATGGCCTGCTTTGATAACACTCTCTCCTTGTGCTTCACTATTTGAAATCCTGTTGTCTTATTATTTTATGTCATGAGTTTATATGCATTTATTTTTGTATGGAGTATGTTTATTTACTTATTGTTGTATTAAAGCTCTCTATATGAAGCGTATCCACTAAATTAAAGTCACAAATATATGAGTGGAGAGGCAGGATTTTAAATAGCCTTCTGTCTCATAGCTAGACATTGTATGTGTTATTATTTTATTGTTAAAGACACGATGCATTTGTCTTTGTTTAGTGATACTCTTTACATGACTACACACACCTGTGTTCGGTGGGTACTCCATCCGGCAAGTCCCTGTGAACAGGGCTTGATGGGCTCTTGGACCTCATCTGGAGGGGAGGCTCAACCAGACAGTGAGGTTGCACGACCCAACGGGTGGAGAGAGAAAACCGCTCAAACTCGGATGGAGAGATCAGGTAGAAACCTACAAGAGGACCAGACAGAGTTTCACAGGTTATCACATGGAAGCTGCTTTACACTGGGGAGTTTGTAAAAAATGAATGCAAATGTTTTACTTGCAACAGTTTTTTTTTATCATCAGAATTCAGGATATTCACCTCATAATTCTGGCTAATTTCCCTCAGAAGTTCACATCTTGAAATTTTGCAATTTTCCTTTCAGAATTCTTAGTTTACATCTGACAATTCTCACATTTTTGTTTCTGTTAGAATTTTAGGTACAGATGTGGCTACTGAGAATGCACGAGTGAATTAAGATGTCACATGGTACTGCAGTAATGCGCAGCACAGCACAACATGGACTAACATCCAAAATACAAAGCCAGCAGGGGGCAGTTATGTAACATAGTGAACATACTGAACTTATATATTGAAGCAGATAGAGCATGCGAGCGGAGTGGAGTAAACTTCGCTAACCATTCTGCTTCATGGTCATATGCTTGCTCGCTGGTAAACCATTACCGCTTGTAACTAAAAAAAATTTGAATAACTGTCTAAAATTAAAGTACTTCGATAAAATAAGTTTCTCTTTCAAAGCGGTATTAATGCTTTTCCTTTTTTCTTTCAGTACAGTTTTTTATTAAGATTTAAAATAGGCCTCAGTGATCAACTGTGTATTTTTTAGCCTATTTATTAAGGCAGCTGTGTGTGTTATTTTATACTATAGTTTAACTGACTGTTAGCCTATTTTAAACTACGGAGCTCTGAACATAATTTGAATTACAAATTTGTTCCACGACCACTTCTTATTAATGCATATCCTTGTTTTAATTAAAGTTATACTTTAATAATTAATTATGAAATGGAATAATTAATTCCTGGAATAGTCCTACTAAATTTATGAAACTAAAGAATTAACTTGGGCTGTAAATGGGTTCGATCTTTTGAAAAGCAGTGAATTAAAATGTACTTGTTGGGCTCGGGCCCTATTGGGCCTAAATTTTATGGCCTGATTACAGCTCTACATTATTCTAGTGTTAACCTTTTTTCTTTTTTAAATTTTTTATAAATTTCTCTATCTGCAACAAAATAAAACAAAAACCAACTCAAAATTTCGAACTACTTCTTTCTGACTTTTTATTCTTACAACTACAAGTTTCCAGATACCAGTTTTTACATGTACAAGCTTTAACAACATTTAAAAACTCTTATTTCATTTATACTAGCAGCTTATCAAACCATGTACAGTATGTGAAATTCAGCTCTTTCTTACCTTGGCCATATTTGGTGAAGACACAGGATGCGATTCCACTGACGTCTTCTCTCCGTATGCAAGGATAATGGACCAGCATTTTGATGGAGGGCAGAGAGATGACGTGGAGCTCCCCCTGATTCGTCAGCACCACCAGACAGCTCTCTAACTGTTCATCGGTCCGAGAACCAAACCAAGCCACACCGACACGCCGCACACGAGAGCCATCCACCGCCGTCAGCTTTAGCTTCGACTTACTGCTCACTTTGGGCAATGTAAAAAGCTGCGCACACACAACTACGGTAAGACACAAGACATATAGTGGAAACCCAAACTGTACTGTGCAAATTCTCACCTTAAATTGCTCCTCTGACACAACCAATAGATGGTGTGAGCCATGCATTTCAGGACTGCGTGCCAGGTCATGTGCCACTTCTAGGGGTTCGGGCAGAGGGGCTCCCTTCCCATCCAAGACCACCAAACCGACAACTGGAGCACGATGCATCAACTGAATCTCTTTGGCTGGTGATGGAAAAGCACATTTTATAGTAAGCATTTGACTCATTTATTATTTCTTTTATTTTTTTGCCAATTATGTTTATTAACATTTTATCCAGATACAACAACATATACATACCAAAACAAATAATACCATTGCTGCTTTTTAAATATCCCACCACAATCCCCCATATCTCCTAACCTTACAATACAAGTACAAATGATCATTTACAATAAATAAACAAATAAATAAATAAATAATACAAATAAATGTAGTTATTAAATAATACAGTTAATATCCAAAATGGGTTGTTCCTCTTCTGCTTCAAGATCAATAGTATCAATGTAATTCAACAAAGGTTTTCCGTGTTTTATAAAAAGGTTTTAAAAGCCCTCTTAATAAATTCTAATTACTTTCCAGCCTTAAATAAATAAATCAAAAACATTTTATCTATCTATCATATGAAGGTGGAGATGTATGTTTCCACATAAAGAAAATAAGCTTCCTTGTCAATAATATGGTGAAAGAAACAGCATCATTATGTGTCGTTGTAGGCAAATTTGAGGCTTTGTTTTGTTTTTAAGTTTGGGGTAAAATGTTACGGGTCAAAAGCATGAGATCCCATTTTGGTATCCGTGTAACATTAAATATAAAAAAGGATGTACAAAACAGGAACATTAAATGCATTTAAAATGTTCATTATTATGTTTGGAATAATTGTGAACATCTTCAAATGTTACAATAAGGGTGAAATACTTTGTTCAGCTTAACATATAAAAATAAAGAAACATTTTTTCTTTACTAACTAAAATATTAAAAAGATGAAGTTTTCATTCAACATTTGGATTTTGTTTTTGATTAAAAATGTCATGCTCAAATTATAACAGCAAAGGGATTTAAAGTGACAGTTAATTAGTGCTTTTAATCAGCACTGTAGTTTCGAAATATCATTGCTAAAATATATATTTATTTATTAAGTACATTTAAAAAACAGCCACATGACTGACCAAAGAGCTGTACATAAAAACCTACATATAGAGAAATAGTAATAAAAAAACAGAAATACAAAGCCTCTTTTAATGTTTAATCATTTCATCATGTTCATTAAATATGCATCACAAAATCTTTCTGGTATTTAAACTATTTAACATTTAAACTATTTAAACTATAATTGTATTACACATTTTCATGCTTGACCCAAATACACAAGCTTTGTTAATATGCTTCACGTTTTATAATATGTAAAATATAATGCACATTTTTTATTTAGTCTTAGATTAGTCTTGGCGGAATAAAGCTGCTATGTTGCTGCTGTTTTATCAAAGCAGCAGAGCAAGTACTGAGACTTCCTATTGTCAGCATGTTCACAGTCACACAGTCTGAAAATTTAACATACTGCTGCTGCAAACGCAATATACAGTTGAGCCCCCTTAGAATTTTTTTTTTACATTTTTTAAATATTTCCCAAATTATGTTTAACAGAGTAAGGAAATTTTCACAGTATGTCTGATAATATTTTTTTTTCTGGAGAAAGTCTTTTGTTTTATTTTTTTGTTTTATTTTGTTTTTAATTTTTTTAAGAACCATTTTAAGGTCAAAATTATTAAATAAATTAAATAAATTTAAATAAACCGGGATCTAATAATTCTAACTTCAACTGTATATGTGACTCCCCGTAGCAGATCTAAAAACATGTGAACCTGAATGTGAATGTTCAAGAACAAGCTTATTGGCTGCTAAGGTGACAGCAACCAACCACCTGCACCATGTAGATAATGATTCAGTAGCAGTCACAACAGTACTTTGTATTATTAAAATCAACAAAAAACTGTGCTCCTATTTGGCAAATTATTTTTGATACATTAAATATGATTTTACAGCTGAAAGCAAACAAAGAAATTTATTTCTGACTATTATTTCAGATTTTAGTTTTTGTACCTGCATGAGCCGTCACTGGATCCTCTGCCCTTCGTTCCTGTGGTGGGACACGGAGGACATATGCAAACACAGCTCCGCCATTGGTCCCTGCCCACAGTGAAGGTGTACTGTGAGAACCTGAGGAAAACAAGAAGAAGATTAAGGTCATCATATCAGTTATAAGACCCAAAATCTAATCCCAAATTGCAGATTAAAAAACCCTGTGGTACTTACTATCACTGACAAATGTATCTGCGAAGTAGAGCGTTCTGACGAGACCTGTGAAGGAGTCATCAGATGATCGGGCTTCAATCTTTCTCTGTACAGGAGCCAGCTCCATCTCCTGCAGAGCCTCAGCCTCCAGCCTGGCATTGATCTCCTGCAGCTGCAGAAAGATCCAGAATATTCATCATCAAGCCAGCACCACTGTTTCAACAACTCTGAAGTATGCAGCGCCAATCGCTACTGAAATAGCTCTTCATGTAACCCTCAGTTAGCATTCATAGAATATTTCCCAATTGTTCTCAGCTGTGTTTTAAATGTGAGGTAGATAATAATTGTAAAACCAGCAGTTCTCAATCCCAGAGGCTCTGCGCTGGTTGTGAAAATTCCAAACTGACCCAAAACCAGTGAATTTGATTGGCAATGAAAATTTGCAAAAGTAGTTCAACCGGCGTACAAAGAGCCGTACAAAAAATAATAATAGTAAAAATATTGGCACAGAAATGCATGTATTTTGGCACTGTGACAGAACCAAAGGTACTGGAAAGAGATTCACAAAATTGTTCTTGAATTATTGGAAAGACTTTTGCAATGTCTTAAACGGTATATGTCCTGAATTGTACAGTGCAACTCTGTCTTGATTGTGATGAAGATTGTGTGCTGAATTTTTCTATATATTGGGCCAAAAAAAAAAAAGTAAATTTTTATTATGGTCAACTGCTCAGGTCCGTTCTGTCAATATGTAGTTGAGCAAAAAGATAAAACTTTTGTCATTGAAAAAGTTATCTTATGATTTACATCAAAAACCAGAGGTATTTTGGCGCATTTGGTCATCTTTCAGGAACCTTTATAAGGATACTTCTCAGTGACTAGCCTTTGTCTTTCAAATTTTGGTTAATATCTTCATAAAAGTCTTCTATTTCTATTTTTGCTTTTAAGAATTTCATACATTTTAAGGACAATATGAATTAAATTTCAGACGTATACAGGGCTAAATTATAAGTTATTTTTTTTTAATGGTCCAATTGGGCCAGTGTAAATTTTTTTTACTTTCCCCATCAAAAAAATCTAATGAATTATTTCTTCTTAAATAAATAATTAAATAATGTGAAAATATTCTGTCAAATATCTTTTCTCAATAGAACATTTCTGTAAGCAAAAACTGTTACAGTTTAAAAACTGTAATAAACTTAATGTATGTAACAGTCTGTCCCGCTCAGCGTTCTCACCAGGTAGCTATAAATAAACCATATTGGCAAATACAGTTAATAAAACACTTGTTAAAAGTTTTATTGAGCTGGATTGTTGTTGATTGGATGGATGTTGGATAGGTTTACATGGACATGCAAATGAAGACCCGTTTAAAATGATTTAAGACCTACAACACAATATTTCAGTACATTCAGTGAATTTTTTTATGGAACAGATTAAGACTTTATAACCCACCTTGGCTGCGTTGTTAGTGTGGTGTTTGCGCATGGAGACTCGACTGCGGCGAATCCTGCGGAAGGACTGTCGCAGAGACTTTTTGATGGACTTGACTCGTGAAAGCGGCCCCTCCATAGCCATCTGGTCACTGGGGTTAAGGGTGCATCTATAAATGGACAGAAAACAACTATCAACACAGATAATAAAATAAGCAAGAACAAAACAACAACTGATAAAGCATGTGTCTGTAATTTTGTTAAAAAAGTGTTTGTAATTTGATAAAATGTGGGATCAAGTTTTTTTTTCTAGCACAACATAAAGGCTAATAATGTGGTTTAATTTCTGTAAGTCATATATGTCGCCACTTTCCCTCGTTTCATGCTTTTTTGAAACATTTTGTACAGATTATTGTTACATGATGGGTTTGTCTATCCATTTGCTTTTCTATGTCTGCGAAAACTATAATAAAAAAGTTTTCAAAAAATATATATTTCCCAATAGTATTGTATTAAAAACAAATATGTGCAGCTTTGGTTGAACATCTTCTTCTAGTCATACGACTCTTTTAAATGTGGAAAATATTAATACTAGAATAAATACACTTGACTTTTGCTGTCATATATTCAACAAAAATATGGTTTGAAGTTTCCATGTAAATGTTTTTCATTCAGATCATTCATACTAAAAGCCAATGTATCATGTGATAAGTGAGTCAGACAAAGAGCTGTTTTTTTCCTTTGACGAAAATATGAAAGTACGCCCTGGTGACAATACTATTTTTACTAATACCACATAGAACACTTCTCTTTTTGATGGGAATTTTTAGATTACTGTGATGATCACATTGGCACATGTATTCTCAATCATCACTACAATGAACCAGATTAAAAAAAACTTTAGTCTAATATGCTGTATATTGTGGAGGTTTTCTTTACCTAGGCTATTTGTGCGGTACACCAACTGTCCACTTCATTCAGTTTCACAGCTTGTGTAAATAAACCACATCACTATAATTAGATGCCTTAACTCTTTTTTTTTTTTCTCACACAGTTATTTTTCTTAAATGTTGAAAGAAAAGAGTGCAGTGCATATTTATATATTCATCTAAAAGTCTCTCTCTGCAGCATTGGCGGCTTCTTAATATACGTCATTAATAAATAATTGCAATGGTATTTCCAAATTAGCTGTACTTCCAAGCCGGGAATTAAAAAGAACTTTGCCATCAGTACACCAGAACAATAAATCATGTTCAGTTTCTTGTTTTTAGCACCACAAGCAAATTCATGGCCAAAGCTCTCGAGTTCACAGTGTTTTTTTCTAGAATAATGTCGCTTTGTATTCTCTGTAGTTTAGTAACCATTAAGGTACAGATAATATTTTGAAAAAAAACAAAACATATATACATATATATATATATATATATATATTCACAGATAATAGATACCGGTATAAGACTGGATCTGTGGTCCATGGTCATAGACATTCCATAATATTAATAGCTATTTTTGCTGCAGAAATTAATTAGCATTTACAGCATTTACAGGCAATAGATATCAAAAAGCAGCTTATTAGAATTAATAACTTTAATTGGCTGTCTTTTGACATACACTGGACGAACTGGGGAGAGGAGTTTATGACACCTCACTGTGTCTAATTTTTAAAACACTCAAATCGTCATGGATCGTAAGAAAAAATGTAGATAGCTCCATTAATAACATTCACAAATCCATATATTTTCAACAAATTACTCTGAAATGCCATTTAAGATGTTTTTTTCCTCACTTGACCATGATGTTATTCCTCTGGTTATAATCATAAAGACCAAAGCCATGGCTGGTCCCGAAGCCCACTAGTTTCCACTCGGAGTGCAGAGCGATTGCGGTGACCACAGCGGGTGGCTGGCACTGCACCAGGGCGAATGGCTGAAAGCCTGGAGGAAACAGTACCGGCTCCTCCCGAACGTCTAGACGCGCCTGTCCCTTCCAGCGGAAACCCTCCTGACCTTGCAGCAGGTCCACTACCGTAGCTTCTACCATCTGCTCCGCAGCCTCATCATTCAGCTCCAGAACCAGAATCTGAGTTGAATTCACACAAAATGACATTCTGTTTAATAAGAGATCAGCGGGAATACATTTCCTTTGAACATGTTCAAAAGCAGAATTCATGTTTATAGTAAAAATGCAGAGTGTGTTTGAAAGCTTTAGTGAAGTTCAGTGAATGAGAAGAACTATTGATCCTGAAGAAGCACTTTTTACCAAGCTCTGCTCATTTCCTAATGGCAGAAATGGAGTGTAGTGGAACGTTAATAATTAGTTAAATCAGGCTTTAGTCAAGTTCTCTCATCATTAATTATCAGCAGCCACTGAAAAGGATTGAGAAATCAGATATTTTCCATGACAGCAGTGAGTGCACTGGGAAAAACTGCACCAATTCTGCACCAAGTTAAAGGTTCACTTAAAATTATCACTTCTTTATAAATAAAATAAGATATTCTGAGGAATGTGGATAATCAGACCCTTCCTTCAATATTATTTTATCGTATAAAAAATTATGACCATCACTAAAAATCAGTTTCCTATCAAAAATACAATTATAATCCCCTTTTTAATTGTAATTTTATACAGCAAAATGAATAAGAACTCAGTTAACAAGGGATGTTTCAATCAATGAGCGTTTGTGGCAATGTGGATAAACTTTTGCGACACCAATAAAGGGCAAACAACTTACATTTCTATGGTAACTTAAACTCAAACAACATTCATCAGTAGGAGATGGCGAATATAAAAATACTATAAATTATTCTTTCTTCAGTCATGGACTTTAATTTTTTTGTGCATGGACAAATTAAGGTTTTGTTTAAACCTTTGTTATTTTTAAGCAATATTATAAATAATAATTTAGTATTAGTTGTAATACTATAATATTTTTTTAGTTATTTATAGTAGTACAGTAGTAAATGTAATTTGAGATCTATATACATCCAACTGGCTCTTTAAGAAATGCATTTGCTAAAAAAATCAAAAATGGCTCTTTGCGGAAAAGAGGTTCCCGACTCCTGTTCTAGAGTTTAGTTGAACAAAATTTTTACATTTTATTAAAAATATCTTTATTATTGTTTCAAAGATAAAACAAGTCTTTGGATTCAACACGACATGAGGGCGACTAAACAATGTCCTTTTGAGCACCAAATTAAAATGCATCAGTATTACTAATTTACTATATTATTATTAAAAGCATAAGTATTCAAACAAGAAACCTTTGAATTTGTAACACTTTGATTTACTGGATATTTTTAAATATATAAAAGCAGCTAATGTGAACTTTAGAGACTTCATTTTAAAAAGAACAAATCCTAAACCTTTTAATGGTATATATTTATGCCATTATATAAATTGAAAATTAAACAAAGCACTATTCCTTAAGACGATTTCCTAAAGACAACAATCCTATTAAAATGTCTACATACTGAGGAAGGTGGTTGAGAAAAAAATTGGGATGTTTTAGTTTAATTGTGTTGCTTTTATTTCTATGTATTTGTAATCCCCTGTGTAAGAGATTTTCTATTCCTAATTAATGAGTTTAAATATAAACACATATGAATGTAAATAAGACTGCATCTGGTGCCCTTGGTACCTATATTGCATCAAAGACAATAGAATACACAAAACATGTCACTTGTATGGTTTTGAATGAGGAAATGTATAATGGTCAATATGGCGAATTAAGCCCTGCCTTCTAGTACAGGGGCCAATCATCGATCACTATAGACTGACGATTCTCCGGGCTCGGACTAGATGTGGGTTTCTGCAGATTTTGTCTGATTCCAATTTTCAGAAATTAAACTAAAGAGACAGTTGTTGTTTAACTTTACTGGTGCTTCCTAATATGAAATGTAATCGTGAGCTTGGCAAGGAGTTTGGGAGAATTTGTTTATGTCAGTTGTTTATGTTGTTATTCGAAAAAAAAATTTGTTCGGTTTTGTTAACAAAAACAGAAAAAAAAGACGTGTGAACCGAATCACCCCCTTAAAATCCCACATGAAAACTCACTTGTCCTGCAGTTCCGGCCACTGTGAGATATCCACTGTATTTACACAGGTGGATCTTCTGAATACCCAGCCGAGGGTCATCGCTATATGGGTCAAAGCAGCCAACCTGATCAATGTTGGACAAAAAATATATATACAAAATCAAATATCTGATGAAATCAAGCAGCAATGTTAATTAATATTCTGAGACAAACCTTTCGGAATGGAGGCCACTCTCCTTCACTGCCCTGGTTCATGTTGTCGTTTGGATCGGCGTCCGTGTGGAAGACTCCTGCTGTGCTGAGCTTGTACATGGGGTAAAGACAGACCCCTGAGGCGTCCCAGAATCGCACCGTTCCATCTTCATGTCTTTCAAGAGGAAGAGGGATGAAAAACACTTTAAAATCAAAGGCAAGATTTGTTTTAAGCATCAGTTTCCTTATTCCCTTCCAGTGTAACATTACAGAGTCTTAACAAAATTTGCTTCCTTGTTATTCAAATTGTTTCCATGAGAAGGGAAAAACCCGACTTTATTGAAAGACACGCTTTAAACAGAGATCAAATACCAACAGGGCTGTATTATCCCAAATAACAGTTGGCTTTGATGAATAAAAATCTGACTATTTCTTGATTTCTGGGTATTGCATGATTCATGCATAATCCATGATTTAACTTGCAAAGAACAAACATCTGATCTTTCCTGTTTTAGTGACCTGATGGGTAAGATGTGAGTGAATCAAAACAGATACAAATAGTCTAAAAGACCAATTCCACAACTGTTTTGCATTTTCTGTTGCCTAAACTGACTTAATTTAATTTTTGTCTACATTTTTGGTAAAATAATAATAATAAGTAATGATACCAGTTTTTCAACGACAAGTAGTTTCAGAAAATATTTCAATTATTACAAAAGCTCCCACATTTAAGTTACTATATATATATATATACACATTATAAATACTTAAATCGCCCTTAAAATGATAATAAGTTGGGACAGTGAAGACTGCAGTGATGATGTAGAAAATCTGCTTTTCCATAAGATAATTAAATGACATTTTACAACATATTAAACACAGGAAGTTGTCATTTTTAATTTGTAATAATAGATCAAAGATTTTACTGCAATTGGAAAATATGATACAAGAAAAATGACAATAACTTTAACATTAACAATTGTACATTTTTCTCCTCCATTCTGAGCAGATAACTTAAGAAAATGTAGTTTTCACTTGTTTGAACAGAGCAATCTTTAATTATGCAATAATAATAGGTGAATCGTAGAAACTAGTGAATGAAAAAGTCAAGACTGATCACATCAAGATGTAGTGTGTTAGATCATAGATTCCTTACCCCGTCAGGAGAAGGTCTCTCTGAGGAGGGTCTGGGGCCAGATTCTTGCCTCCGTTTATAGGCCAAGGCTACAAAAAGACAGATATAAGAAAAAAACTATTGAATAGCTTCCAAGTTAGAGTTGACAGTTTTTGTTTGCTTTGTTGTGTTGAATACTAACAAACAGAATCCAACACAACAAAACTTATGGGAACATTTGATCCTAAGAAAAGACAGTTCATTTTCTGCTTGGTAAGTGGTTTCATTCTTGCATGCTTATGGGTGATTATAGAATAGCAGATACATAATGCATCTCCAAGATAAACCATCCTTTTTTTTTAAACCAAAATCTTTAACGAAACCATTTTTAATAATAACACAAGTTATCTCACAAATAATGTTGTGTACTTACTATTAAGCAACATTTTGTCTTGAAAATATTGACTTAAAGGCTTCCATTGAAGTTTTGACAATCTCTGTCAACTGAATCGTACATTCAGCTTCAATTATGATGCATTTTCATCTTTTGTGAGCGTTTATTCTAAGTTAAATAAACATTAGCATTAAACATTAATTTTTCTATATTATTTGTAATTTCAGTAACATTTCGAACATCCTGGTCAACTCCGTTGACTATAAAAAGGCTTTAAAGCATGCGACTTTCTCCATGTGATGTCACTTCCTCCGGAGGGGAACTCTTGAAAGCATTGATGCATGTAATCATACTTCTCTCACTTATTTGTACAAAAAGTTTAAAACTCATCAGCAGTAGATTAATGATTTGTCAACTCTGTACTGATATTTTAGTGAATTTCTAAACTCAATAATATGATGAAAATACATAAAATTATGTTTTAGTTATACCATGTTAAATTTAGTTTGAGGTCAGTATCTTAAGCTAAAGCATAAAATGCTGGAAAATATCAACTCTGTTATCGTCAACTATGTATCATTCAATCATTCATTTTCTACCGCTTTTCCAGGGCCAGGTAGCAGTGGCAGCAGTCTTAGGGGACAATCCCCGACTTTCCTCTCCCCAGACACTTCCTCCAGCTCCTCCAGGGGGATCCCGAGGTGTTCCCAGGGCAGCCGAGAGACATAGTCCCTCCAGTGTGTCCTGAGTCTTTACCGAGGCCTACCCTCGGTAGGACATGTCTGGAACACCTCCGTAGGTAGGCTTCCAGGAGGCATCCAAAACAGATGTCCGTGCTACCTCAGCTGACTTCTCTTGATGTGGAAGAGCAGTAGCTGTACTCCAAGCTCTTCACCCTATCCATAAGAATGCGCCCTGCCACCCTTCGACCCAAAGCTCATGACCATAGGTGAGAGTAGGAATGTAGATTCACCGGTAAATTGAAGGCTTTGCCTTTTGGCTCAGCTCCTTCATTACCACAACAGACCGGTACATCAACCGCATTATTGCTGCCACTGCACCAATCCACCTGTCAATCTCACGATCCATTCTTCCCTCACTCGTGAACAAAACCCCAAGATACTTGAACTCCTCCACCAGAGGTAAGGACTTTCAATGGACCTTTTTCCAGTGGCCTCGGACTTGGAGGTGCTGATTCTCATCCTAGCTGCGTCACACTCAGCGGCAAACCGCTCCAGTGCATGCTGAAGATCCATGTTCGATGAAGCCAACAGAACAACATCGTCTGCAAATAACAGAGATGAAATCCTGTGGTCCCCGAACCGGACCCCCTCCAGCCCGAGGCTGTGCCTTGAAATTCGGTCCATAAGAATTACAAACAGAATTGGTGACAAGGGGCAGCCCTGCCAGGGTCCAGCATGTGCTGGAAACAAGTCTGATGTATTGCCGGCACTGCGAACCAGACTCCTACTCTGTTCATACAGGGACGAGACAGCCCTTAATAGAGCGCCTCTGACCCCATACTCTCAGAGCACCCACCAGGATGCCACAACGGACACAATCGAATGCCTTCTCCAGGTCCACAAAACACATGTGGACTGGTTGGGCATAGTCCCATGAACCCTTGAGCACCCTGGTGAGGATCAACCATGTAATGGTTTAAAAAGTTTAACAATAAGCTAAAGAACAGTCAGCAACAGAATCAAATCTTCCCAGATACATTTAACCCTCCTATTGGCTTACAGGATAAAAAGCATTGTTTAGTTAGTTTATCTTAAAGTTTGGTGTCTTTGTCTTAAAATCACCCCAACATTAGAAACATTGAATAATTTTCTAATTTTCTTGAAGGTTGTACATGTTAGGGCTACAACAGTTGTCATTCAGGTCAATGTTAACTCACCTATAAAATCCTTTTTGCATTACAAAAACTACTCACACAAACTGGCACACATACCAACATACACACATACCTAAACACACACACACACAATAAGAATCTGCTGCTTTAATTTTTATGATTACAGTTTTGCTAAAAACTTATGTACAGATACTTTTACCATTAAAAAATATATCATTTACTTTAGTCAAAAACAAATGTTGCCAGCTGATTAAACATTGTTGAAATTCTGCACAATGCTGAAGGGAAAAAATACACATTCACAGAGTTTGTGATAAAAAAGGTTTTTTCTTTATGCAAAGTAGATTTAAGAATTTAAATTAAATTTAGCTGCTTAATTTTGGATGTTTAGTGAAGATGGGTCATTTTGGACCTGAAGGACAAACAGTGTATACAGAATTCTAAGACAATAGTACGGTTAAGCATTTTGCATTGTTGTAGACAAATAACAGATTCAGTTTCCTGTACATTTTTTTTTACATGTATTGTATATTATTCCTACTTATATATAATAAATGGAAAATGCTTGTAATGTACCTGCTAATTCTGGCTTAAGTCATACATATGCATACCTTCCTGGAGTAGTGTGTGTTCTGGTGGGCTCCCGCAGCTTGCACTCTCTCCCACAGTTTGAGAGGGATGGAGGAGACGTGGTGTGAGCAAGTGATGGCTGAACAGTGTAATGGCACCAGGTATGGCGTCTGGATGACGGGCCACCCTTCAGTCTGCAGATCCACCACAACCAGCTCCTCCTCCACAAGAACCACAAGAGCGCTGGGTTCACCTGAAACACAGACACACACTTAGAGGAAGTGCACTTACTGGAGCTCAGCTAAAATGTTTAAGCTGATTAACTGATACCAGAAATAATAGATTAAGAGAAACTGGGGAATCAAGAATCAATCCTAATTGTTGAAGCTGGTTCGGTCAAAAGGATATAATTCCTTTAGTTCGCTTACTAATATTAACGGGAAGTCTGATTGATTTCCACAAACTGGTTCTTTAGTGTCTGCACCAACAACTATGTCACGTTTAAAGTCATTAAATCACCTTTCTGGCTCATTCTGATGCTATATATATATATATATATATATATATATATATATATATATATATATATATATATATATATATATATATATATAAAATAAGGCTTCATAATTTAGCTTAACTGTAGAACTAGTTTGTTCTGTTGTCCACAATGGAAGATTTTAAATACCGCTCTGGTCTACATAAAGAGATCATAGATGCTAATAAGGAATAGTTGTAAAGTTACATTATAAAGTCTGAATGGAAGGATGCGTACATATTTTACCACAGCAAAATTGTGTTAACATTACTCTAATATAGAATCAGGAATTGAATATTAAAGATGGTTTCAAAAATACTTCTGTAAACACAGATCCAGAAAACAAAAATGTGGGACTGAAAACAATGTGACTGACATATTCGGAAAAGGTAAAAAGAAAAGAAAAGAGAGACCTCTCAGCATCTGTCTCTACCTTTATGGTTTTCTCCTTCACGAATGACGAAGAAGTCAATAATGCGAGAGGTGAAGTCCAGCGCTTCATGGGTTTTGCTGTGAATGACAGAAATGCAGTGTCTGTCCCCATAACTGGCCCTCGGCATCCCTCCACTGAAGATGAGGAATGGGGGACTGCGGAAAGAGCACAGAAGACTTTCCAAATCAGCCATTACAATTATTTTTAAGAACAGAAAAAACAACAAGAAATAAAAGGAAGGGTTGTTTAAAAAGGGCAAGAGATTAGCTTTACACCACACCAAGGTTTCATTCATCAACATTGGCCAACTACAACATTAAACATGAAATATCAATAAACAATTGCTTTTACAGCATTTATCAATCCTAACCTCAGCATTTAACACTGTTTTAAGACCAAACATGCACTGTTAAATCCAACCTGAACATTTTTATTTACTGGAATTAACAAAGCTTTACAAACAGTTAAAAAATATATGGTTAATACTGAATTATCTAAAGTTAACAAACGAGACTGTACTTATTGTAAAGTGCAATCAAATGAAGGCAGAATGGAACATATGAAGATTCATGGAAAGTTTAAATATTAACCAGACGCTGTGGGTTATGGTGAAGCACTCTGGGTTAATGACATCACAAGCAAACACACCTGCCCCCAAATCAGGTAGTAAACACTCACAGTACTGTCTGATAAACAATATACAATACTCACCCTTGTTTTGATGGCAACTGTATAATTTTGGATATAGCCTTGCATGGGAAGGCACCTGTGTAGAGATAATGTTCGTTTAAAAAAATGAGCAGAAAGCAAATGGCATCTTATAAGACTGACAATTGCTTTGTTCCAGATCTAGTGACCTACCGACTAAGACAACATTATTTGAGGCACAACATTAAGCCACTTTTACACATAGCTTTACTACAGTCAAATAAGACATAAGCTCTTTTTAAAAAGCTAATAAAACAACTTCAATTCAAACAATTCAATAGCACAAGTAAAAAATGTGCACTTTTGTTTTAAATTTCTGTATATTCACCAACTGAAGAAGACAAATGGTTCAAAATAATAGCAGAAGTTGAGGAAATGGAGAGAATGACACATGCACTCAGATTACAAAAACTTGGAAAAAAAATTGAGTAAATGGCTGGCTTTTTCCACAACCACAATATAAATATTCATACTTTAACATTTTCCAAATTCTAGAGGTTATGCGTCATAGAGAGAATATGTTGGGCAACCTTTTATTTCATTTTTTTTTTTTTTATTTCATTTATTTATTTCCTTGCAGAGGTTAATTTAATATTTTATGTGCTGTATATATGTATACATGTGTAGAATGGATATATACATTGTATTTATACATGTATGTATATGTGTTTGTACAACAGTTCTGTCTGGTTCCCGAATCTGATTGGTTGATAGCTGTGCCATATTCTGCAATATCAGAAATCGAACAATCTCTTCACTCTTGTGTATTATTCCACCCACATGGAGTGACGGGAGATCAATAAACTCACTACATTTCGACAAATATTGCAGCTGTTGGACAACATAATGTTGCTTTTTTAGGATAATGCAGTTGTTTAGATTGCAACCAAGTCATTTATTTAAATAAGGATAGTGGCTATTTTAAATATTTATAATTTCTGAGAGACAGCACATCAGCGGCCCTTAGCCTGTTATTAAGCAGAGCAAAAACGGTTTACATTGTCCATCCACAAGATGGCAACAGAGACTGCATAATAAGCCCTTAAAAGGAAAAAAAACTCCTAATTTCTTACTACAGATGATCAAATCATTATTAAACAGGTAAATGATGACGATCTCTATCTTTTGTTTGTGGTAGTGCTTTATTTATACCATATATTAGTATTGTATTAAGTGTGAGATGGGACTCTAACCTTTTTACTTTTTGGTTAGCCATCTGTTTGTTTCTATTGAGTCTCCTGTTTTCGTTACTGCAGACTAGTTTAGTAAAAAGAAAAAAAGAAGAAATGCCCGCATGTGTTTAACGTTTTTCCTTATCGCAAACACAACTATAATCTAGTAGTGTTTGCTCTGCTTTGGCTTTTTGGGCTTAATTCTTGTAATATCCCGATTGCAACAGAGCAATACTGGGAAATCTCTGTAGACTGATGGCATTTCATGCTGTTCAGCCTTATAATCTTAAAATGCGAGCAAAATCAGCTGTTTTGTAATTACTTTAGACATTACACTATAGAAAGTCATTCAAATACTAGCTCTAAAGTGACGTTCGTGAAGTAGCAACAGTTTCTGCTGTTCTGACATCAGCTGCAGATGTGAATGGCGGAAGAAAGTAGTTCCTCAAACAAAAGGGTTTTTACACTCCGAGTCTGATTTTCGTTTTTATATACATGATTATGCTGTCAAACTGTTGTATAAGCACAATATCACACCAGTAGCAGTGCAATATTGCTGTATATCTTCACTTCCATATCGCACTGCTACTCGTGATATTGTTCATATATATATAAATAAATAATTTTACATATAAATAATTTCAGGCTTGACTGTATTTATATATAATACAGTTTTAAAAAAACTGGTTATAATAATAATAAAATAATGGTTTCTAGTTACATTACTAAAGTTGTACTAAAAAATTAGCAGTTTTTGATTCACGCTGCGATTATGCAAGCATAAAATACTGTATTAATTATCAAGAAGTTCTTTGATAAACATTATACATATGGAGAAATACAATTTCTGACCCATGCAGATTTTGGAACAGAAGCCCATAGTTTATGTTTAAGCTGAAAACACAAGTGATTCTGGTCAATTGGTCTTACCATACGGCGTCTCCTGCTTCTCTGGCTCTGTTTGCGGATCCTCACCGGTCACCGTCCACTGGCAGTAGCTTCCATCACTGTGCGAACTGAGAATGCTTTCACCGTCCTCCATCCACCAAACACTCTCTAGTTGCTGCAGAAGATGCAAAAAGATACAATTACAGACCTCTTTTTAAAAATACCCCTGATAAGGGTTTTGAGCTTCAGTGTGGGAAACATTGCGAAATACTGCACCTGTGTGCCCAGAAAGTGCTGGACGGGACGCTGCCGGTCCAGATCCCACAGAACCATCAGGCCTCGGCTGTAGCCAATCAGCACTTGCCGCGGGTTCAGCGGGTTTTCATGAAGAGTCTCAACACTCTCCAGATTTCTGCGGCCAACATAATCCTCTGGAACTCTGGGAAAAGCAGCAGAGAGAGATCAGCCATCACAAAGAGTAACTGTAACAGTCATCTCAGGTATGCGAAAGTGTTGCATAATACTACTCCACAGAAACTATCTGAAGAATGTACAATGTGTGTATAGGCAAAATGAACAGAGATTATAAAACCATTATAGAACTCAGGGACATGAAAGTTGAAGAAATGTACATTAAACAAAAAAGCTAGATAAAAAGTTTGTCAAGACAGTTTAGCTTGACAAAGCCTAGTCTTAAAGTATACAAACTTGAAGAGTGCAACAGTTTCACAATAATAATGGTGATGATGAATTTTGATTAATGCCATGTCAGCAACAAAGGCTATTTTCATGGCAAGAACATTTCAGTGATAAATTCATTCATTCATTCATTCATTTTCTTTTCGGCTTTGACCCTTTATTCATCAAGAGTCGCCACAGCGGAATGAACCGCCAACTAATCCAGCATATGTTTTACGCAGCGGATACCCTTCCAGCTACAACCCATCACTGGGAAACACCCATAGACACTTATTCACACTCATCCACTACAGACAATTTAGCTTACCCAATTCCCTTATAGCACGTCTTTGGACTGTGGGGGGAACTAACGCGAACACAGGGAGAACATGCAAACTCCTCACAAAAACGCCAACTGACCCAGCCGAGGCTTGAACCTGCCACCTTCTTTTTATGAGGCAACAGCACAACCCACTGCACCGGCTTTCAATATATTGCTCATAGGTAAAGTACAAAATATTTGAATACTATTTTGTAACAACCTTTTATGGCTGATATATTATACATTACAATTTGATCAGATAAATATTCAATGTAATTGATTCTTTTGGCTTTACATGCCTTTGTGATTCAGATGAGCGTGATGCCTGACCTGTTTTGTACGTCCTCCACGCTGATGTTGTTCTCCTCCAGTTCTCTGAATCCTGGCACTTCCACAACAAACACGTGTCCTCCTTCTGTGCCCAGCAGCAGCAGCTCACCCGATGAGTGTGCCAAGACCGCAGTGACCCGCGTCACGCTGGGAATGGCACTGTCAACATTTCACATCACAAGGAGGTTAAAATTAAAGTCAAGTGATTTGTTTTCATCTCTAGGTTGAGGGCTTATTATATTTTGGTCAATTACAACTTTATTATTATTTTTTTTAAACAATGCATTACAATGTTTTACATAAAGTACTTAAATCCATGGCCATTTTATTAGATACACCTGTCCTACTGCCTGTTAGGGCAAATTTCTTATCAGCCAATCACTTGGGAGCAACTCAATGCAATAAGGCATGTAGACATGGTCAAGAAGATCTGCAGTTCAAACCGAGCATCAGAATGGGAAATAAAGGTGATTTAAGTGACTTTAAACGTGGCATGGTTGTAGGTGCCAGATGGGCTGGTCTGAGTATTTCAGAAACAGCTGATCTACTGGGATTTTCATGCACAACCAACCATTTCTAGGGTTTACAGAGAATGGTCCATAAAAAGAGAAAATATCCAGTGTGCGGCAGTTCTGTAGGCGCAAATGCCTTGTTGATGACAGAGGTCAGAGGAGAATGGCCAGACTGGTTTGAGCTGATAGCAAAAGGCAACAGTAACATAAATAACTACTTGTTACAACCGAGGTATGTAGATGAGCATCTCTGAACACACAACAAACCTTGTTGTCAAACCCTGAGGCGGATGGGTTACAGCAGCAGAAGACCACACCAGGTGCCACTCCTGTCAGCTAAGAACAGGCAACTAAGGCTACAATTCACACAGGCTCACCAAAATTGGACAATAGAAGATTGGAAAAGTGTTGCCTGGTCTGATGAGTCTCAATTTCTTCTGCAAAATTTGGATGGTAGGGTCAGAATTTGGCGTCAACACCATTAAATGTCCCAAAGGATTAAGGCCATTCTGAAGGCAAAAGGGGGTCTAATAGGGTGTACTTGATAAAGTAGCCGGTGAGTGTATATGGCAAACATTTATTTTAAAATAATCACAAAAATATATATCTTTAATCAAAAACTGTGTCAGTTACAACACATTTTAAATGACTGTAAGAGAGAACATATTGTACTGCATTAGTTGTCTGTACACTGACACGCAAATAACACTCATCTTTAAAATAAAAATACAAATCTCTTCACTTAAATTCAAATTCAAAACTCAAATTACAGCACCATAAAAAACAGCCTTATAAACATCAATCTATCCAATTTAAAGTGAAACTGAAACTAGCAGTGGCTGAGAAACACACAAATATAGTACATGCTTCTGTCATCCAGGCACAAATCCAAGTTTTGCTTGCTTGACATAAATTGCTTAGAAATACAAGCCACAGCACGTTTTGAATGGTTTTGATTCCAAACTATGTAGTGGATGTGATGCAACAAATTTCCAATGTAGTTTGTTGGGTGATACTGAAATGGCAAAAATAAATGAATAAAATGCAGCGGCATAAGGACAGAGCATGACCGATGTTTAATAGGATGCTATGAGAAGCAAACTATAACTTCCAGAATGACACAAGTAAATTGTACAATAAAGTATTAGCTTAATTACGCACGGTTGGACAGGATATGACAGCGAAGATTGCATAAAAGACGTATTTGATTCACGGAGTAAGTCAGCTGACAGTATGTGCTAAACCACATATAGATTCAGAGTATCAGTCGTGTCTGAGTTAGAGTGACTCAATGCTCATGTCTCATTCTTTGGGTGTGTGTGCGCGCGAGCATCCCAGCACATTGGGACGAAAAAAAAACCCATAATATTAGAGTGAGGCGAGTCTGTAGGTGTGTGTACTGACTCACCCAGGTGGACCAGAGAGAGTGAACCGTCCGATCTCAAGCAGCTCACACATGCTGTTATGAGCCCGAAGTGTCCACATATGTAGACTGTTGTCTTCTAGTAATGTGACCAACTCCACCTGCAAACAAAGATAAAGAGAGATAGAGACATATATCATAAATAACTATTAAGGTATTTAATTCACTGTGAATTATTCAATTAGTTTTTGCAGCAGGTAATACAAATATATAAACAAACAAAAAGATAAAAAAAAAAGACTTTTAAATCTCTCAAATCAGACTTTCTTCAAAGAATATGCAAATGTGTCTGATGTATTTATAAAGTTTTAAACTCACAAATTTGGAAAAGTAAAAGATTGGTGTGAACTTAAAATTTTGAGTAAGTAATTTGAATAGTGAGCTCTAAACTTGGATTTGGGATAAAGAAAAGTCAGAAGCACTGACAGATACAATGTTTTTATCCCAAGGCAGAAATGGTCTTCCATAAATTTTAATCATTAAAAAGTTAGTGTGGATTTTCTCTTCTTGAATCTTACATTTTTTTTTCCTCAACAACCTCACCCAAAACCACAGATGATTCACTGAAAACCAAATCCCAAAGATTGGAACAAAATCCAAGAAGAAAAAAAAAACAAAAAGAGACCAAATCAATGAGATCAAAAAGCCACAGGATTAAAAGTCCAAAGCCGTACCTGGTTTGGCAGGAAGTGCACCTGTGTAACCGCCGCATTCTCGTCGTGAAGCCCCATGAACTCCACACCTGGAGCTCCGTAGCTAAAAAACTGGTTAAGGATGATGATGATGATGATTAGTTTTTTTATTTTTTATTTAATTCCATGTCAGCAATAGGGGTGTAATGGATCACGGTTGATTCATTACTCGCAAGGATCACAACCACGGTTCAGAACACAAGAGACCAACGGATTAATCAATTTTTTTACTTGTAGTTTAATCCTAAATTTGTAACAGCCTCTCGCGTCATTCAAATCCCATGTATGAAAGCATTTTGGCTTACCTGTAAAATATAATGATGACGGAAGAAGTTGTGGTAGGTTAATCAGGATGTGGTGGGTTTCTTCAGGTATTAAGCACGGCTGAGACTGGTCAGTACCTGGATGGGAGACCACTAGGGAACACTACGTTGCTGTTGGAAGTGATGTTAATGAGGCTGTGTGAGTCCTAATGCCCCAGTAAAAGTGAAGGGGACACTATACTGTCAGTGGGCGCTTATATACTATACTGTCGAGGTCCTGACTCTCTGTGGTCATTAAAAATCACATGGCACTTCTCGTGAAAGAGCGGGGGTGTAACCCCGGTGTCCTGGCCAAAGTCCCTATATCGGCCTTTACAATCATGGCCTCACAATCATCCCCTTCCACCGAATTGGCTCTATCACTGTCTCTCCATTCCACCACTAGCTGGTGTGTGGTGAGTGCACTGGCGCCGTTGTCCTGTGGCTGCCGTCGCATCATCCAAGTGGATGCTGCACACTGGTGGTGGTGTGGAGACACCCCCTCATGATTGTGAAGCACTTTGGGTGTATGGCCATACACAATAAATGCGCTATATAAATACACATTACATTATATATTAAAAGTTTTTTCTGTCACTACTTGTTTAACCTGCATTAATGCATTCAGGGCTGCCCGATTAATCATTAAAAGATCAGGATCTCAACACCCACGCAACATAAATTATAAATGACGATGATTTGCATGTTTATTAATCTTAAAGAGATTCAGTTTTTAATCTTTTGAGTTATTTATGAAGTTACAAACAGTCAAATACCACAGAAGTACTGGGAGAACAGTTTAATGTTTAGATAAAACCACTGATGTTTATGGTAAAGATTAAAATCACAGTTATTTGCATTTAACGACACTTAAAAATAAAAGTTGTAGGCAGCAATTAAATAATTTAAACAATATTAAATAACCAACCAGCAATCAAAAATATGCCACTAAATAATTCTTTAAAAATGATCCGTCTAGCATTGAAACATGACGTTTTATGAGTGAACAACTGAATCATTTATTGAAAATAAGACTAAAATACATGCAAATATACTAAATTATATTTATTATACTAAATATACACTTAATAGATTTTGCATTATCAGCAACAGTAGTAGTAGCAGTGAATTTTTCACAGTACTGAATAATTTACCATTTATTTTTTTTCGATTATTTCTTCTTTTTTTGTAATAAAATTACAGCTTCTAAGTTCTGTTGGCTGAAACAAAAAAAATATTGCAGTACTGTTTTTTGTAATAAACGAAAAGCAAATTACATTAGTCTTGTCCCCTTTTTGGCTGATCCAGAAAATGCTCTGATTCGTGACTAAAAAACTATAATGTGATCCGAACCCTGAGATTTGTTATCCATTACACCACTAGTCAGCAACAAAATCTATTTTCATGGCAAGAACTTTTCAGTAATAAACATACAATTAAAAACAACAAACAAATTAATACATAAATAAAATAGGATTTTTAGCGTTAATACATGATAAAAATTCTAAAACTTTTCCTGATGTCACTTCCTGGTTTAAACAGCAACCATTTTTCAGACAAGACATATGAAACAGCCCATTTTTTATAGGAACGTGTCCAATCCAAATCCTTCAAAAATTTTTTTTTTAAGTCTACTAGTATAAAAATAGAGCACAAGTCTGGTCACACGCCAGTTAATCATTTCCATTTCCTCTTCTCTATATGACTAACAGAGAAACTTACGCAATTCTATGGGAAACAATGTTACCTGTACAGACTAATATGAACTGTGCTGCATTCATGGTACCTGCATGAAGGGTGTGTTCAGCCACTAAACACCTATAAGATGAGCTACCGGAAATCATAATCACCCCTGCACACTACAGTCACTTTGCCTTCGAGTAATGGAATGTGACTGAGTGGGAATATTCAGGTGAACAGCAAAGCTACGCATAGTTCAAATATAAGCCATGGTTGTGTGGAAATGTCTTGTGGTTGTTGAAGGATACAGTTTGATTGCTCCTGATCTGGTGCCGATGGCCAGGAGCTCCAGGCTAGGGCTGAATCCCAGAGCGCTGGGTTGATGGGGGAAGCCATGCTCTACAGTCTGAAGACATAAGAAAAACAAGTGAAATGTGTGAGACATGTAAAGTTGGAGACACCATAAGACTCATCTCTGGTATAAGCGGACTTCATGGGCATTTTACAAATCACAGACATACTAAAGATGTGAAGTCTGAAATGTTTACAATTAGGTTAGCTTAAAAGATACATCATTTTGGCTAAATTATAAGACAGCTTTGCACATGTTTTTCACTTAGAATGAAAGGCTTTTGGGCGAGGGGGGGGGGGTGAGGGGGGGCAAAGTATAGGCTGCATGATTAATGTAAATCAGCCTATACTTTGTTGGAGGACAAAGTATAGGCTGCATGAATAATGTAAATAAAAGCAAAGTGTAATGCGCCTCAGCACAATTACCTAAAGCTCAAAAGCTGCGGTCTCATTAAAAAAAAATATATTTGCTGTGGTTCTGAGTGAAATGTGCTTTTTTTTTGCTCAGACATTAAACGTTCAAAAACGGTTAATCTGTGGATGATTAAAAATTAAACCGTTATCTATATTCAAACTGTAATTTGACTGTTGTACTCTTAAAAACTGTTATTATTATCTTATATTTAATAAATACTTTCAATTTTAGTGACAATACAACAGGATTTGTTATTTTAAAATGTTTCAAATGTAGCAATAATAATGACAATAATGATAATAATACAATTGCCATTATTATTATTATTAATACTATTATTGTTATTAGCAGTAATATTAATAATAATAAAATAAAATAAACAAATACACAACAACAACAAATAAGTATATATATGGGTGCAATGGTTCAATCTATTCATGGTTCAGTAGATTTCACGGTTCTAGGGTCACGGTTTCGGTGCGGTACGATATCTGCTATGTTTAGAAAAAAATGGCTACAGAAAAATTAAAAAATATATATACATATCTCTTGGGCTTTTCTGTCTTAATTCAGGAGGAACAGTCAGTCGAGAAGAAATCTTTTCTAAGCAGAAAATGGGTAAACAGAAAAAATAAATTGAGGGAGCGATTGGTGAGGAGGAACACCCAGTGGGAGCGTGACTGAAGTAACAGATCTGCAGTATGTCCTGTCTCCGTATGGGACGCTTCTGCGTCTGAACTTGGACCTTGTGACCACTGATCTAGGATATCTTTCCAAATAATAAATAAAATAAAATATATAAATAAATAAATAAAAATCGGCATTCATTATATTTTTGTGTCTGTCTGAATTTATAGAGTTTATGTTGAAACACTGAAGGCAATGCGCTGTATTTTGGTCTCCCCTGCGCTTATCTCCTTCATTCGTCGTGCTGAACTCTCAGAAAATCCACACACACCCAGACGTTAGGAAACGTGATGTCAACAACAAATTCAAATAGCAAAAGGTGATTGGACAGGTCTCCGCATGTGCAATGCATGTGAAATGTAATTTGAAGCATCCAAAGGCGGAACTTTTTTGCTTTGATGCAGTTGTTTTTAATTACTAAACCAAATATTAATGATGTATATTCTGAACTGCGGATCACAGGACGCACCGAACCATGGGAGGACATCGGGACGATTTAATTTTTTACTGAGAACAGTTGCATTCCTAGTAGTATAGTATTCTAAATTTAATAAAATACTTAAAAAAAAAAAAAAGAAAAAAAAGAGTTTTGCCACATTAATAAACACATTTTAAAAAATGTTTTGAGCCAAATTAGACAAACAAAAAATATTTAAAAAAATAAATGAAATCAAACACGCTGGAAATTTACTTTAAAATCAACTTTTGTGTGAATCTACCAAAAATAGCAACCAAAAAAACTATCCAACATGGTTGAATTCAACTCTCCCATGTATTCTGTGTGAGAAACTTTTGACTTTACTTTTGTAAAACAACTAAATGTAATGAAGGGCACCCAGAACATAAAAAAAGTTGCATATACTCGACACACACAAAAAAAAACGGACTGTCAGCAGAAGATGTGGCTTGATTACCTTGTTGAACTGATAGAGATCCTGTTTGTGCTTGTCCCTCTGAGACTCGTGCCCATGACGCCTGAACCTCTTCATGGTCCCTGGACGAGCCGGGACTCACACTGCCCTCTCTCACGGGTTCACCTCAGCCACCTGACAACACAAGAGAGATACAGGGTTAACCAGGGCCACCAACATATGACATCTATAAAGAAGAAATGGCTAAGGAATAGAGATGTCCAAATTGTCTTGTCTAATATTTGATAATGATGCAGCTCTGTTTGTTGTAAGGATTAAGATTGCACAATGAATCGAAATCGTGATTTAGCAAAAGCCACAATTGTCATGCACATCTTGTCAGGAAGCACGGCTCTGTGATCAGTAGTAAATCTTGGAAACTGCAAATACGCCACAAAGACAAAACACGGAAGATCAAACAGAGGATTTAACTGATTTTACTGAACCGGTGTGACCAATAATCACATGCTTTATTTCAGGCACTCAACTGAAGTTATGAAATGAGTTTGGAGTAGACCAGTGTTATTAAATGTGGTATTTTTCAAAACATTTCAGATGTAGCAGAAAGTTCATTGAAATTGATTTTTGATTAAAATATAAGAGCTACACGTCGTATATACAGATTAATGAAAGTTTAAAGCAATGCGTTTGCTAATTTTGTACGTTTTTGTCTTATTAGTAAAGTAAACTTACTGCTCGTTGAGACAATCCTCTTTGCTTTCCTTTCATCCATTGAAAAATAATAAAACTTCCATCACAGAATGTAAGGCATAGCCAGCTTGGTTTCTGTCTGTTCCTGCATTCGTTCATCGATTGCGGGATTCAATGTGATGACAGCAATTATTTTTTTTAAAGCTAATTAATTAAAATTCAAAGGTAATTTGTGTTACATTTTTTAAAAAGTAACTCTAATATTATTACTTTATTTTAAGTACAGTGTTACTTTACTCGGTACTTGGAAGAGTAATATCATTACATAAATGGCATTACTTGTAATGCGTTAACCCCAACACTGCTTGTCAGTGAACTATGACACTATGTAGTAAACCATGTCCTATTTGAAAGCACATGCTGGAGATTTAAAGGGTCACAATACACCAAAACATGTTTTGAGATGTTGCCAGTCATATACGTGTCCCACGCTGCTATAAAGACTATTAGAACACATATATTGGTTAAATTGGTTGTTTTTGCGTTATTTTGAGTGAATTCTTTCTTCAAGTTTGAAACTAATTTTTGAAGCTGCGTCACACCGATTAGCTACTTCCGTGACGTCACTGAGTGTGCAGCATTAATTCACGGAAAAGGCTTAGTTCAAACCAATCAGCGCGCTCTGTTGTGTATGAGGTGCAGCTTCATTAATATGCATGATAGCTTTGAAAAACTACCTGTACCTGACCAGTGTTCAGACAGCAGAGAGACGACACGTTGTGTTGCCAAAACAAGTGGAAGAAGAAGAATTGTTTGGAGTTGTCAGTGTTGCTTTTATAATTTGCTGCATTGAAGGTTTTGTTTTCATTTTCCTTGCTATGAGAGTGCAGCTGGACTCGGGGATTACAGTCCATGCGACACGCAACAAAAATACATGTCGAAGGAACGTTTTTTACCCGAGAGCTTTTCTCATCTGGAATTGGTGAAATCCGGATTTGCTGCTCGTCTCCTTTTATAAAAGACGCGGGTAGAGTTGGTGTTGATTGTCCTGCCTCTACAGACTTGGTAAGCGATAAGTGGTCTTTGTTAGTTTATTCAGATGGCAAAGTTAGTTCAAATCGTCAGTAGTCCTCTTTCAGTGTTTAAAGACAGACCTTAGTCAAAATGATTTCTAAGTTACTAAAGTTTACAGTATGTTAATATCACGGAAATGATGTAAAAAGCAAGAATCATTTCCATTTAGCTAAAGATCTCTTTTTTTGTCTCCCACAACAAAGTGAGTCATACAGGTTAAGAATAATAAAATGCATAAAAATCAAAGACACATACTGAAGCACTGCAAAGGGGGTACATTTCAAACAGAGCTCGCAAACGGTTATTATGTGTGTACTCCAGCAAAACAATGGATCTGATAGGATCAAAAATTCCAAGAAAGAAGTTGTGGGCTTTAGCAGAAACTACACCCCCCTGGTTCCTCTTCCACTCTCTCCCCTGCCCAGCCCCCATAGGGATACTGCAGTCCTGAATGAAGCAGCTTTTGTTCAGAGCTGAACAGTGCTATAGTCCCTCCCCTCTTCAGAGCAAACCGCACCTGATGAAAACACCTGTAGCTCTGGGAAAGCCGAATCAGAAAGAGCCTCTTTCAAACGGACAGAGAAAGGAGGGGCTGCTATACCTGCTCTCCATTAAACAGACCACTCACACTACAAACAATACACAATGGCCTGTGAATAAACGGCAGTTTCTCTCACCTGGAGCTTAAATCTGTGTTTATCGTTGTGGCTGGAAACAGAAACATGCCATTGGCTATCCAGCTTTATTTAATTACCCTTCAAATATCCTTCCACTCTGTGAATTTGTGTTATATTATATATTGACTTGAAAATTGCAACAGATGACTTGATTAGTGCTATTTGCAGAATAATTTGATACTTTAGAAAAATAGGGTGATTTTGTTCATCTGCATAAAATACAACAATTACAACTCGGGCTGTGTGATTTGGGGAAAATACCGAATCTATTTTTTTTAACAGATATTGCGATTTCAATTCTATTTGTCATTTAATTTTGTAGTTAAGCATCAGCTCAATATTCTTTATTGTAGCTTATTACTGATAAAATGCAGTGAGTGTTAGTTAAACAAACTGAAAAGATATTAACTAACTCCAACTTTAATTTGTTTATAAATATTCAGAAATCAAACACTCATTTTTCTAGAGCAAACAGTAGTACGTTATGGTGTTGGTTATCTCCTGGTGCCTTCGTGATGTTTTTTCATATGGTGTAACAGCTGCAAACAACTCTAAAGTTGTACTTTGCTGTTGCTAGCAACTAGATTGAGTGTCACTGACAATACTTTCAATTGATGTTTTAGCAAGACACTCCTCGTATAGCTGCCTGTGGTGCTTTTTTAGGTGCTGGTTGTTGTATTTCCTCATGCTGCGACAACAATTCTGCGACAGCTCTTACAAATGACCAGTTTTTGTTCAGTGTCTGTGACTTCGAAACCAAAATATTCCCATATTAACGACATGCTGTTTTTCTTTGATATGAATTTGTCTATTAATGCTTCTGAAGCGGCAGATGCCATTATCCCCCTTTCCTGTTTGTTTGTTTTATTGTGGGCTTTCCGCACAGTTTGGTTGCGCAATTCTGATTGGGCAGAACGCAAGTGTGCTCACTCAATTGGCTAGTAAGAATATCACACACAGACGGCAGTCCCGCATTTGCTCTGGGTGGAGGAAATTAAATAATACATATACATTTCATATCGCAGCCTCTTGTGATTAGCTAATCGCAACATTTGAAATCACAATTGCAATTTAATTTCGATTAATTACACAGGCTTAATTGCAACCACTGATGCTTCATGATTTTCTGGGAAGTCGAACAGTATTCAGGTATAGAGTGAATAATTAAACTTTACAATTAATTTTTTTATGTGAATGAAACTACAATGGGGCGAAGTAGTGGTGCAGTAGGTAGTGCTGTCGCCTCACAGCAAGAAGGTCGCTGATTCGAGCCTTAGCTCAGTTGGCGTTTCTGTGTGGAGTTTGCATGTTCTCCCTGCGTTCGCGTGGGTTTCCTCCGAGTGCTCCGGTTTCCCCCACAGTCCAAAGACATGCAGTTCAGGTGAATTAGGTAGGCTAAATTGTCCGTAGTGTATGAGTGTGTGTGTGTAAATGTGTGTGTGCATGTTTCCCAGAGATGGGTTGCAGCTGGAAGGGCATCCACTGCGTAAAAACTTGCTGGATAAGTTGGTGGTTCATTCCGCATTCAACAAATCCCGTGAACTTTGGCTCCTGGTTATTTATTATCCCAACTTAACATTGCAGATATTGTGCTATCGATGTTGAAACAATATATCGTGCAGCCCTAGTTTAGACTATAAAAGTAATATTATGCTTTTTTCTTTACTTTAGATGTGGTAAAACTTGAACCCTGTATACACCCATTTGTTGGGTCATCCACTTGAAAATGCATTTCAATACCAGGTAAAAGCAGGATCTGAGAGGCAATCCACCCAAAGCCACTGACTGTATTGGGTCTGAAACCACTTCCTGAAATCAGGCTAGATGTTAATAAGAGGAAACAGTGCCAATGTTCACTGAAAGTGTGTGTAGTGTACACAACACATCCACATTCATATCAGCAAGTAAACAGAAATTCTGAAGGGTAAAACAGAAGACAACCAGCATGCAGCCAAGAAAAACAAGAAGAAAACAAACAATGAGTCACAGTCTATGACATTGATCATTGACAGTAAGGAGTGCACATTCAAAACGAACAGGTACTTGTTACGTCACACAACCCCTCTGTGAGCGTGTCTAGACAAGGATACCATCATAATTCATCACACCTTGTGGAGTGTGAATGCATTTGCATATCAACAGGAAGTGCGACCCTGCTTTCCCGCACATCAATCTTTTCCAAACATAACTTTCCCAGTGACTCACACACATATTTCTGTGATTATGGCCAATATTAGCCAAGAACATTTAGTCATCAAGCATGTGGTTACAAACGCTTCCAGAGGGCGAAAAAAAAAGCATTTCCTTATTTTTTTAGGACCAGAAATATAAGTATTACTGGACCCTGAAGAAATCAGTCAGGAAACTCAACAACAAAAAAGAGAGACTCTAAGCTTAGCTTTAGGGACAATGGTAAAGTGGGAGGTCTTCTACTTAAGAGTGAGCTTGGCTTTATGGGGGAAAACGCTCAGCAGGAAAGCTGGAATGAAGAGAAGTTGGGAGAAGAAAAAAACAATTCATTCAGAACTAGAGTCTATAACTATCATTGAGCACCATATTGATCATTGGAAGCAGCTTCAGAGAAATATGCTCCTGGAGATCAATATTACACCTCCATCTATTTAATCCCGAGTTAATTAGAGGTGCAAAAAATAAGCGGTGGTTTGTTTTGAATCCCGCTGGGAGGAATTATGGCGGCGGTGCATGTGAGGGCAGTGATGTGGGAGTAGTGGC